TGGGCCTCAGTTTCCTCCTGTGTAAAATGTAAGGATGGATTTAGTATCTGGTGTCTAGCCTGGTGCCAGGCATGCCTAGACCCCAGGGCTAGCATGTTGTTATTGCTACTTTTAAGATCCAGGGTTGTGGTCACTCTAATGCAGGGATATCCCCTTCCAGGGTCAGGATGCCCGTGCCTCCCTCCACCTCCCCAGACACCTCCATCAGCCCCGGTCTTGCACTAAACTATGCATGTGCGTGCAGGGGCGGGGCCTATGGGCACAGCCCAGGAGACTGATACTTCTGGCTTAAGACAGTCAACCTGGGGACCCCAGTTGGCCTCTGTTCTCTTGCAAAAGTTCCTCTTCTGTCACCTCCTCCTCAGGGCAAAGGTTGATTTCTGGGCAGCCAGGGCAGGGCTGGGGCTTGTGTGGGATGAGCTATAAGGTGTGGCTTCCAAGGGCTGAAGGGGAGGGAGGACTCCAGCTCTGGGGGGCTTCGAGACACACTGGGGTGGTGGGGTGCTGTACTGGCGTGGCTGGGGGTTGGGAGGAAGACCAGCTGTCACTGGGCCCAATCCTGGGAGGACCTGTACCAAACCAGCCACTGCAAGGTCTTTTCTCGGAAGCTCCGGATGTGTCCAGAGGGCATACAGAGCTCTGGCTGGGGCCACCGCCCTCAGGCCTGGCCTTGGCCAGGGAAGGGAGGGGCTGGGGGCCAGAGGCAAGGTCAGGAAGGTCATATGGCCCTCTCGCCTTCCTGGGGACCCTTCTCTTTGAACATACAGACCCACAGACCAGTTAAGTCCCCAGCCAGGATCACCCCAACATCCTCCCTCCCTTAGTGTTCCAGAGTTGGAATCTGAGCTCCACTGAATACTTGCTGTGGAATCTTGGGCAAATCTTGTTTCTCTCTGGGCCTTATTCGTAAAATGGAGGACATTGTTATTGAGGTTGTGGCTATGGGTCTAGAGGAGGTCCCAGAGGGTGAAGCCCTACAGAACTGTAACCAGGTGAGGCAGGAGACAGAGGATTCAGATCCCACCTGAGGGAGTGTAGAGATGAAGCATAAGGTCATCTTTGCAGCTGGAGAAAGTAGGTCCTTGTGCTCTGACTCATTTTGCTTGTGCCCTCACTATACAGATGAGGAAACTGGGGCAGCACCTGTGGGATTAAGAGTCACAAAATTTGAAAGTTGTTGAGAGTAGATCCTAAGAGTTCTCATCTCAAGGAAAAACTTTTTTTTCTTTTACTTGTATCTTATAGGAGATGATGGATGTTAATAAACTTATGGTAATCATTTCATAATATATGTAAATCAAGTCATTATATCACACACCTTAAACTTATACAGTGCTGTATGTCAATTATATCTCAATAAAACTGGAAAGAAAAAAAAGTTAAAAAAAAATGTTGTGAAGACACAGGTTCAATTCCTGGTGCTACCCCTTACTAGTTTTCACTTACTATACTTACTAGCTTACCTTTGGGCAAGTTAGGAAAAATCTCTGGGTCTCGGTGTCCTCATCTGAGAAAGGAGGGTCACCAGGATCTACCAGGACAAAAAATAAGGTAGGTGCAAAGGGTTACCTCGCCTCTCTGAGGGGCAGCATACTCCAGACTAGTGGGTCTCCAATGCTGGCTGCACGTCAGAACCACCTGCAGAGCTTTCTAAATACCACTGTAGTCTTAGAAAGGCAGCTTTAAAAGCTCCCCAGGTGATTCTAAGGTGCAGTCAGGATTGAGATCTACTCACCAGTCTGCAGTTTCACTAAGTGTGGGCCAGCAGCATTACTTGGGGGCTTCTTAGAAATGCAGAATCCCAGGCTCCGCCCCAGACCCGTTGAATCAGAATTTGCAAATTAACGAGATCCACAGATGATTCAATGCACGTTGCAGTGTCTGTAACTATGATTTTTCAGTTTGAGAGGTACTGGCCCGGACAGTGGATTTCAGACACGTGTATGTTTAGGGGAAGGACAGAGGGGGCAATTTGGGAGGATTTGAGACCGGAGCGGGTGGGAAGGAAGATTCTGTGACTCCCATCAGAAAGGTGGATATTCAATCTGTAAAACCATAGGATGGAGGCCAAGTGACAAAGCAGCAAAATGAGCTGATCCCAGCCTGGCAGTTAGACATGGGAACTTACCAGCCCGATTACCTTCTTAGTGGGAAGACTCACGTGTAGAAACAGGGAGCGCCATTTTGATTACACTGCTTACTGGCCCAGAGCCTTACTTTTCTTTGCATTTTATCTGTTTTCATAGATCTGTTTAAACTGAGCTTACTTTGGGGAGGAAAGGGGCAGGGAGACCTCATCAGCATGGGGTAGAAAAATAGTCCAGGCCTCCAAACAAGTAGGTGGCAGGAGAGGAAGTTTCTTAATGAAATGAGCATGGTGACCGCACCTGACTTGGGCCCAGGCGGCTCTGCGGTGCTGACAGTACTGTGGTGTATTTCAGGACAGCTGCTGCAAGTTTCTTGGAGTTTAGAACTTGGGCAGAGCTAAAGGGGAAAGAAGAAGGGAAAAGGAAAATAAATAAGCAGCAAATGAAGTGTCTCTGAGCTCTGGGCTCTGCGTGGTGTGCGGTTCACCTGGGCTGGAGCTTCTGGTCAGCGCTCTGTTCCTTCCTCATCTGTGACCTTCCCGGTCAAAGGCTCCTCAGGCTTTGTGGAATTCATACTCCAGTCTTAGGCAAGGGGAGGAAGCAGTACAACCCTCCTTGGCGTGAAGGTGCACCCTGATGGTCTTGGCATCCTTTCCCAGAAGGGAAAGACTGAATTGGGACTCAAGGTTTCCAGGTAAACTTCTTGGATCCCCTACCTGCCCATCCCCTCCCCCAGGACCAGGCTGATGGCCCCACTTGATGCCAGGTGTGCCCTGATCCTGGCCCGATAAAGAGTGTCCCTGTGTGGGGTGTGGGTATTTGGCATTTGGCTGGAGGACTTTCTCCTCATGCTTGGCGGGGGACCGAGGACAACATGGAGGGTGGCAAAGGTCAAGGCCAAGCCATCCAGGTGAGCCACAAGCCAGCTGGGATATCCCAGGTTCCCAAGCCAGGTGGGAACAGCCTCTAGCATCACTTCCTAACTTCATTCTGGGTACAGTGGTGAAGTTATCTCAGGACTCGCCAGTGGGCCAGCCTGCCCTCCAGTGGTGCTCAGTAGTAACTGCACCCTCCCTGCTCCACTTTTTACAGTGGAGTGCAGCTCTGGAGGAAGGCTCCCCAGATATGGACTTGTTCAACCCACAGGTAGGTGATGGAAAGGCAGTGCTGTTATCCTGCCATTTCAAACACCTCTTCACTTCATACGACATTCAGCTCTAAAAGGGAAGAGAACGAGCATGTAACCAGCACCTACTTCTTCATACTAGGGACTTTGTACACTTTGCTTCCCTGACCCCTCTGAAAGCCCTGGGGGCCAGGGGTGTTACTAACATGTATAGAAACAGTTCCTGGCTTTGAGGACAGGCAGCAAGGGGTCAAGTCACATTCCATTCCGTGCCCGTCTGACTTGCAAAGCCATGTTCTTGATGTACCACCTGCCTGTGGAAATCCTTTAGCCAGGAGTTCCCAGGCTCTCACAAGGACCAGGCAAGCAGCAATAGTGAGAGGGGATACACTGCGGAGTGGTGGGGACTGCGGCAAACTGACGGATGTGCGCCACATCTAAAGGACACAGTCATACGTCCCCAGCAGATTACTCTTGAATGGGAATGCTGGACTAGCACCTACGAGAAGCTGAAAATCTGAATTTTGGGTCAAAGTTCCCAATTTAAAATACTGACAGTTAAATCAGAAAAGAGCGTAAATATAATGCAAGCCAAACAAAGACTGTTTCTAACACTTGCAAGCCAAACAAAGACTGTTTCTAACACTATGAGCTTCTACAATACCCTCATGGTGCAGGTGAGCTCTGGAGAGAGGTCGTCACTTGCCTACGATCACATGACCACATATAGAGACAGAGTCTGGACTTGACCCCATGCCTCCTGACTCCCAGGCCAGTGCTCCTCTCAGCATTTCTCTCTGTAGTCTGCCCTGCTCTCCAGTCCCCAGGGCAGGGGGTGAACCACTTCTGACTTTGGTGAGGTGGTGGGACACATCAGACTCAGGCTAGAGGCTGGAAGATCACCCACATTTATTGGTCAAACTTAGCTTGCAGTGTAGCAGGGCCACCCTTTGGCCCTCTTGGAAGTAATGAGAGCACTGTGTAACACATGCAGCCCCTGGGAGCTCACTCAGATTCTGCTGAGGTAGTGGCTTGATCCAGTGGCCTTACCTGAATATTTTGGCAGTCCCCACCCCCTGCACCCTTAGGCATAGCTTCGTCCCTTACACAGCACGGACTGGGCCTGTCCAAGGTCAGGCTGGCTCTACCTGGACCTGGGCCTAAAGTCCTAGGAAACTAAGGGAGAGTGGGTGATCCAATTCACAGATGGGAAAACTGAGGCTTGAGGCAGGAGGATACTCATCTGGAAGACTCATGGCTAAATCCCTGGCTTGGCCCACAGCCTTGGCCCTCGGGCCACTGGGCTGGTCAGTGATTGGATGCTCTCCCCATCCCATTCTGGGCGGAAGACATTTTCTGGCTTAGCTGCTCTGGAAATGCAATTTATAAATACATACTTGGTTTAAAAAAGTAATAAATTAGATCTTGGACCTGCCTGAGGGCATCTGGCCAGCCACATGGCATGGACATTTGTTATGTCTCATATATCACATGTAGTGCTAAGACCCATGACATTAACCCACAGGCCACACTGCAAGTTTCATGCAATGTCACATGGAATGCTGTCACGTGTGACCTTCTGTGTCATGCATCACACCATGACATGCTCATTGTGTTACATGTTTCTGGCTGGTCATGCATGTCCCATGGGATGTAGGGTAGTCTATTGGCTATACTAGGTCCTTTGTTGCCAAAAAAGTCCTCCCCGAAGACTGTTGCAGGAAAAACCTGTCTCCCCCTCGTGGGGCAGGGTACAGGGACAGCCAGCTGAGGCTCTCTTCCTGAGTCCTCTATCCTGGTGGGTGGAAGTTGGCATCACTCGGCTGCATTTGAAAGGTCTCGAGGGGCCATCAAGTGCCGTGAGGGACCTGTGGCTGGTTGTCGAAGAAAGCAAAGTCCAGCCTGGGCTCCTGGCTCTGCAGACGCTCGACCATCTCCGGGTGGATGGGGTTATTCCAGAGGCTGTGGGGCACAGAGACAGACTCTTCTCAGCACTGGGAGCTGCTCACTTATTGTCTTATCTCTGCCCTCTGCCCAACCTACAGATGGGGAAACCAAGGCCCCAAAGGGTAAGAGCTGTTTCCAGAGTTACCTGGTAGGCAGCAGCAGGTATTAGGCCAGCATGGCTACCTTAGGGAGATGGTATCCCCCATGCCCACCCGGACTTCTTCCACTCAATCTTTTTTTTTTGGCTACAACGCACGGCATAGGGGATCTTAGTTCCCTGATCGGGGATTGAACCCATGCCCCCTGCAGAGGAAGCGTGCAGTCTTAACCACTGGATAGCCAGGGAAGTCCCCTCCACTCAATCTTCTTCCCCGGGAGCTAGCTTCTTCCCCAGGCCGTGCTCATATGACACATTGGACAAATAAGGAAAAAGCTCCCCTTCTTCAAGACACTTTACTTCCATCGTCTGAAATTGTCATAATATATTGTTTTATAGAGCGAGGCACTTCACTACTACTAGAAACCTAACACGTCTACTATGTGAGTGGTGTCCCTTAGATGCAATACTCCGAAGTTCAGTGCACCACCTATACAACTGTAATGTGGTGGTCCTGATGATAGCTACTATTTTAAGTGCTTACTATGTGCCCGGCATTGCACTCAGTGCTTTATATAATCATTTACTCTGCAGAGCACCTCTCTGAGGTAGATACTATCACTACCTCCATTTTACAAAGGAGGAAACTGAGGTTCAGAGAGCTTGAGTTACTGATGCAAAGTTACACAATCGGCAACTGGCAGAGCTGGGATTTGATCCAGGTCTGCTTGCTGCCAAATCCCTGATGGTGCGGTCCAAGTCTCTTTGCATAATTCCCGACCCAGGTCCTGCCTTCTCCTACAGGAGGTGCCTTTACATTGCAGAGGTTGGTGTGCTCACCCCAGCCCCAACCATCCCTGCCCCTGCAAGTCCTGTTACCGAATGACTTGGATGCCAGACCCCTGCGCCAGCCCTTCAGCCAGAAGCCAGGCTCCATAAGCTGTGATCCGATTCTTCTCCAGGCTTCCCGACGGATGGCGGAGGAAGGGGAAAGAGACTGACGTGAGATGGTGAGATGGGGAGGAGGCGGCCGGAGGGGTGATTCCCTGTGTCCCTTCCCTGTGCCAAGCTGGGCGGGGGGAACAAAGGCTCCCCGCACATGTGCTTAGAGAACTCAACATTCAGCAGTGCAGCGGGAAGGCGGAAGGCCGGGACCCAGGGAGAGCTAAGCTTGACAGGGGCTTGGAGTGGACCAGAGTGAGCAAATCCAGGAGGGCTTCCTGGGAGTTAGGGGCCTGACCCAGTGGACTCTTGGCTTTCCCCAGGACACAGGTCCCCCTTTGGTCCTCCCCACCCGCTTCTGGCTTCCCCGGATGTGCCCCTCATACTCCATTCTCTTCAGCCGGCCCATCTGCGGCAGGACCCGGGCCAGCTCAGCAGCTGCGTCATCCCCGAGCAGGTTCCAGGACAGCCTGCAGGGTGGGGTGCCAATGTCAGCGGCAGGAGAGCAGTGAGGGTAGAGACCGGGGGCAGGTGGGGAGGGCTGGGGGCCACGGGGATGGGGGAGCGCCACGGGGTCCTGCGGGCCCTCCCTGAAGGCTTTACAAGGCACAGGAGGCTCCTTCCTACCTCCCCACCCCATTCCCGAGCCGGTCATCCCTCAGAACCCAGACAGCTTAGGAGCTGGCTGTCCTGAGAGTTCAGAACACGAGGCCTGTGGAAACATCATGATCCAAACTTCCACCGTGCATGTGCCTCCATCCTGACTTTGCTACATCCATGTACCGCCTATATTATTTGTTTCATATTTTTCTTTAAATCAGTCCTCTGTGCCCTCTTTTTTTTTCACTTTAAGAAACTGATCTTAGGAAACATTTATCACTGCTATCAATGAAAGACTTGTGTTAAGGACCCTAAGTAGAAGGTAGTTACAAGGATAAATACAGTGCAAACAATGGTATTAACTTCTAGCTGGAACCTGCGTCCTTCCTAAGGCGCTAACCCTGTGGTCTGCCCCCTGCTGGCTAAAAAGGGATAATCACCAGTGTTTGGTGAGTTAGCCCTGATCTGAGACTTTCTCTTTGGTGTAAAGTAATGAGAAGAATTAAAATCTTTAGGATGCAAACCTAAAATCTTGTAATCCCTTGTGTCCTGTACTTAAAGAAATCCCATTTTCTTCCACCATGCTCAGGGTCCCAGGCTAGTCCTGGCAATCTAGTTTATCCCTGAGGCAGTACTGCCAGGCCCCAAGGTCTGAGCACCTCTGATGGCCAAGAGGGAGGTGGGCATGGCCAGTGGGCAGGTCGGGGGGCCTGCTGCTTTCAGCCACTCCTCACTACCAACAGGTGGTTCGTAAATCAAGGCTCCATAAACCCGGTGAGGTAGTCTATCCAGACGCTTCCCAAAGGGACAATCGGGAAATGGTCCTAACCATCTCCATCTGGTCCACTGCCCCTCTCACCCTCCACAGATGGGGAAATGGGCAGGAAAGGGTGAATGGCTTAGACAAACAACACTCGCAGCTCAAGTGTTAAAACTTCCTCGAGAGGAGCTTTGAGAAAGAATGACCTTCCCTGTACAAGATGGGAAGACCTCCAGGCAGGAAGGAACCAGGCCCCCAGGTGCCCACTTTGCCCAGCTCAGGGCTCTCCCAGGCACTCACATGATTTCTTCCAGGGCCGGGCAGAGGACGAAGCTGGCAGTGAGGGGCTTGGCAGTCTGGTTGTCAATCTCACACGACACCAGGCTGGAGATGGAGATGGAGATGGAGATGGAGATGGAGAAGGGGATGGGAGGGAGGTATCTGAGTCAGGGGCACCCTCAGCCTAGTGGCCCTCTCCCCACCCTGCAATCACAGCAGGAGGAAGCAGAGTGGCCAGCATCTGGGGCAGGCTGGGAGTCTTAGGAAAGTGCCCCCTCTTTTTTTAGTTCCAGGTTCCCCCCATACCTGAGGCCTCTGTCACTTCAAAAGCCTTCCCAGGTATCAGGCTCAGCCAGAGAAGGACTGCCCCCTACAGCACCGCAGCTCCCCGGGCAGTCAGAGGAGGCTACTTACTCGATCTGCCGGAGCAGTGGGAGCCCCAGATGGAAATGTGGGACCCCTCCGGCCAGGTTGTTCTCTGCCAAGCTGCAGGGCAGGGGAGACACCTGTGAGAGGAAGCCCCAGACCACCCCCCCGGGCCTGGCCCCCTGCCCAGGCTCCGCGACCTCTACTCACCTGATCTCTTCCATGTGTGGGCATCCATCCAGGGCCTGGCCCAGGCTCAGTGCTCCCTCTGGGCCAAGATGGCTGGATGTCAGGCTGAGGAAAGGGAAGGGGTGAGGGGAGCCTGGGGGACCAGGTATGGGAACTGGGGGGGGCTAGATCCCCCCACCCTGAGCCTTGTCTCAGGCTGCACTGCCAGACCTTAGACAGTCTCTGGGTAACTGCCACCCTAACCCCTCTCCCCACCCACATAGGACCTGGGTGGGTATCAAGGGCCCTGGCTTTGGGGTCTGAGATCCCAAGTTCAAGGCCTGGCTCCTTGATGTATTAATAGGGTAAAGCTTTCCACACCTCTCCAGGCTTTAGTTCCCTTGCCTGGAAAATGGATCAAGTAGAAATCCCGACCTCACAGGGCTCAGATGAGACCATGGACATAAACTGTAAAGTGGCAGGTCGCTTTTCTCCTGCATAGCCCTTTGCTGACACTTCCTCACTTCCCCTCGGAGAGTGGCTCACAGGGTACGCTGAGCTATGAGGAAACTGAGACTCAGAAGGGGCAGGGGCTTGGCCAAGGGCCCACAGGGGGCTGGTGGCAGAGCCAGGACGAGGCTGGGTCTCCTGATCTCCCTGCCCCAGGCTCCAGAGGCAGGGGAGAAGCAGGTGGGGGAGGGGCAGCCAGCCCCAGCACACGCCACGGTTTCCCCTAAGGCAGGGCAGCTCAGCCGATGGGAGCCTCGGTCCCCTAGTGCTCCTTGGGGAACCCCTCCCGCTAACCCTGCACACACCGCGGGCAGGGGGCCACTCACTGCAGGACCCTCAGGTGCCGGGGCAGCCCCCTGGCCAGCCCCAGGGCTGTGGGGTCTCCCAGGGCGTTGTAGCCGAGCCTGGAAGAGGAGAGGGGATGAAATTGAGCACCAGGCTGGCCTGCTCCATACCCCTGCCCTGTGCCCACTGGGGGACCCAAGGGTCAGGTGGCCTGCGGGGACACAGAGGGCAGCCCACCCGGGCAGACACTCACATCAGCTCCTCTAGGTGCCTGCAAAGCGGGAGACACTCCGCCAACCGTGCTCCCCCTGCGGGGCCGATGCCATTCGCCGAGAGGCTGAGGAGGGGCAGACGTCAGACCCTTGACTCCCCCGTCCCCCGCCAACCCCACCACATCTGCTAGGGCCCTAAGAGACAGCACTCTCGCCACACACTGTCCCAGCCTGATGGGACAGAGAGGCCCAGGGAAGAGCAGGGGCTGGGCTGGCTCAAGGTCCCCAGATCAACAGTTCCAGGAGGTAACCAGCCCCAGGGCCTAGACACTGAGGTTAGAGGGGGGAGCCAGAGTCTCCCTGGACCATGGTGTGGCTGCTGAGGACCCCTGTCAGGAGGGCTGGCCACTCACTCTATCTTCCTGAGCTCAGGCAGTCCCGGCAGGACAGCAGCTAAGTTCTGGGCACCGGTGTCTCCAATCTGGTTGTGGCTCAAGCTTGGGGAGAGAACAGCAGGGGAATTGCAACCATCAGCCTGCCACCCATCTCATCTTGTCTGTGTCCTCATCCCAGAAGAGGAGGCCAACGTCTAGAGAAAGGCCTCAGCCACAGTGATAAAGTCCTCTCACCCTATGTTGGGTGAGGACCCCAAACTCTTGTCTTCTGTTTAGGATGTTCTCCCTGGTGTCTGACCTAAATCCTTCTTGCTGCAATCAACACTCTCATATCCTGTCTTTGGGTTTCCCGAGGCTCTGGGTCTGGGGTGATGCAGTATATAAGTGGGTGAAGGTGACGAGACTAGGAAGTGAAGAGTGTCCTCCAGGGGCCCCTTGCTTCTGTCACCTTCCCCTGCCAAAGCTGTCTTGGGTCTAGGGGAGGGACAGGCAACTCACCCTAGCTCCTCTAAGCTGGTGGCAGCTCTCAGACTGGAGAAGCAGGGCCAAGAAGCCTTAGTCAGGAGTAAAGGCATTTGCAAGTGCAGTGCTAAGAACTCCACAGTTTGCAAAGCCTTTACACTTCCAGGGACTCATATGTCAGTCACAAAACGTCCGAGGGTGGGGGATGGGCAAGGTGGGCAGACTGTACCTAATACCCAGAGGAGAATTCGGAGGCCCAGGGAGGAGCCGTGATGGGCCAAAGACCCCCAGGGCCTCACAGGCAAGGTGGAAATGAAAGGCCAGAGCCATTGGCCTGGAGCAGTGGCCACAGTTTTTTGGTTTGGCCAGGCTTTGCCTCTGCCCCTATGTCAGGGATCTTCAGGCCAGCCCGGCTGAATGTCAGTTTCACGTGTCTCTCACAACTCATCCTGTTCTAATCTATAAAAACAGTGGGCTTTTCCTTAAACCCAGTCTATTTATGGTCTTTTCTGCACTTGACCACACCCTGCCTCTGTGAATGGGGGGAAGAGACAAACGGAACAAAACAGCTGATGCGTTAGTCTGAGGGTTGTTTGTTTTGTTGCCTTTCGTTTTGCAAATTAATTTTTAGGGAACTGCCTTTCGGTAAATTAATTTGGGGTGAAATGACCTGGTCCCCCAAACTCTCTGAGCTCATCTCCTACATGCTCTACCCTGCCAGAGTGGGGGGCGGGGACTTGGATAAAAACAAAACAATGCTTTGTCATTGCTTGGGTTTGTTTAGAGTCACAATATTTCATATTTTGAAAAATCACATGAAAAGAGCATGTGCTATTTGTTTCTCAAAGTGGCCAGGGGCACAAGGGCAGAATATCAAGGTCATCAGCTCTGAGGCTAGACCATCACTACTCAAAGTGTGGTCTGTGGCCCCCAGAACTGGCATCACCTGGGAGCTTGAAATGCAGAATCTAGGCAACCCACAACCGTGAATCAGAAACATGAACAAGAACAGAGGATGAATTTGTGCACGTGAAGGGTTGTCCTAGGACTTGGGCTCAGCTCCTTCAGGTCACTTGTGTAGCGCAGAGGAAGCTGGTGGCAGTAAAAGGCAAGAGCTGTGACACCGACCTGGGAGGGTTATAGGAATGTGCCGAGGACAGGAGCCACAGAGGGTTCTCAGGGAGGTGCCCCAGTGTTTCCCTAGATGGGTGGTCCCAGCAGAACTTGCAAGTGCCTCCTCCTACTCACTCCTATGGGGTCACTCGGTTACTCACCGGAGGCTCTGCAGGAGGGTCATGTGGCTTAGTCCTTGAGTGAGTGCAACCAGGGCAGAGCCGTCCAGTGGGAGGTGGCTGAGGCTGGAGGAGAGGAGGCCACAGGAGGACTTGGCATACTGGGCTTGGGTCCCTGACGCAGACCTTGAGTGCTCAGCAATGCCCAGTGATCTCCAAGACAGCCACTTACATCCACACAGTGTAAAAAAAAACCCAAAACTGTACAAACAAAACTGCACTGGGAAATCCAAATGCTGTTTTCTCTGTAAGAATGATACAGTCATCCAGGCAGCAGTTCTATATTCTGAATCACACTAGACCCAGACTACTGACCAGTAACCACAGCGACCACACACCAAGCACATACTAAGGGCCATTTAGAGATGATATGATATACAGTTATCCCCATTTTACAGATGAGGCACACTGAGGCCCAGCAGTCACACACAGAAAGTGGCAGCATCAGGAACAGAACCCAAGGCTGTAGGATTCCCATTCCTGGGCCCAACCATGTGTTACCCATGGATCATGCTCCTTATGGCCCCACCTTGGGCAGGAGAGAGGAATAATAACAGTAATAATAACAATAGCAGCCAATACTTGTAGAGTGTGAATTCTGTGCCAGGCTCTGTTCTAAGTGCTTCATGTGTGTGATCTCATTTAATCCTCACAATCACTGAGGGGGTAGGTCCAGCTATTATCCCCAGAGTTAAGATGAGGAAGAAAACAGAGAGAGGTTAAGTACCTTGCCTAAGCTCACACACTGAGGTAGAACCGAGAGGTGACAACCATCCTGGTTTGCCCAGAACTGAGGAGATTTCCAGGATGCGGGACTTTCTGTCCCAGCTAAACTGGGACAGTTGGTTACTGTGCCAGGAGTTGAACCCAGGTGGTGTGGCTGTTGACTAGCACCTACACCCCTAACCATTTCACCCAGAGGGACAGGTGGGAAAAGTTGGCTGGATCTGAGGGGAGCTGCTTGTTGGAGAGGAGACACTCAGAAACGACAGATCTGAAACTGGAAGAGGCCTCTGGGGAGTGAAGATCCATCCCTTTCCTTCAGACAGAACGGAATCATTGGGACTTCCCTGGCGGTCCAGTGGTTAAGACTCTGTGCTCCCAATGCAGGGGGCATGGGTTCGATCCCTGGTCAGAGAACTTAGATCCCACATGTCCTGTTCTCTGAAGCACTTCCAGCTCCTGGCTCTGGCCTGGGTGCCCAGGTGAACACACATATATGTTAAACGCATGAATGAGCCAATGGATGACCTCATTGGGCCTCCAACTCCACCCCAAATAAAAGCTTCCAGAAGAAAGGGAGGCTGAGCAGAGGTGCAGGCACATGGGGGGAAGCCAAAGAAACATCTCAGTGGGAAGACAGTGGACCCTCTGGTCAAAGGTCTCCCTAATACCACCCCCTGACCCCTGCCAGGATATGCAAAGAGGGACAAAGTAGAAGAATTTCATTCATTGTTAAGGGGCAAAAAGTCAGAGCTGCTTTTAAACTGTATTCAAAAATGTGTCCGAAAAATCTGGAGGAAAACTCACAAACTGCTCATGTACAGAAGTTTTCCCAGGGGGTGTCATTGCTAGGGATTTCATGTTCATTGTTACATATTTCTATGATGATGGAACTTTTTATAATTCGTGTGTATTTTTGGTCAACGGATAAACTTAGAGATTAAAAGCAGAAGATGCCTTGTCAAGTGTTCTGTCTCGATACTGTCACGTCTGTGCAGGATGGGGACCTGTCCTTTAGACTGAGGCTGTTTCCACCGTTTCTAAGAATTTGGTGACTCCAAATTATAGGTGAGGGTAAAAGTTGCCAGTTACTAAGGAAACGATTGTAGGCACATGGCAGTGGTCATCTATGAGTTTTTTATCTGCCCAGAGTTTGTTTCCCTGTCTTGTGTTAATAGTCCCCTGAAATACCACCCCTGACTCAGTCCAGATAATTGGATGGGCATGTGACCCAGATCTGGCCAATCAGATTATCGTGTGCTTAGAGCCACAGTGATTGGTTTAGGGGCGAGCATGTGACCTGGGCTAGTCCAGTGAGACTCATTCTAGGGACTTGTGTTGTAGGTACAGGGAAAAAGGTGCTCCCTTTCCGCTTGGCTGGTAGAAAGTGAACCTGCAGCTGCAGGAACAGCCTGCCTGAGGATGAAGTAAAGAGATGGGGGGTGGGGAGGAGAGAGGGAGGGGAAGGGAGAGAGAGGGAGGGAGGGAGGGAGGAGGGGGAACAAACAGAGAACCTGGATCCAACCAAGCCTGAAATCAGTTGCCTTATTATTTTCTGTGACACGAGTTAATACATTTCTGGGTTGGGTTGCTTTGACTGAGTATTCTGTTCCTTATGATCAAGCATTTTGATAACACCCAGAGCCAGGTAAGGAAGGAAAAGGGAGGGCATTCAGCTCACCTGAGTCCATCCAGGAGATTGACAGTGGTGTTCACTAGAGATGCAAAGGTTCTTAGACATGCTCCCAACTTCCCTGCTCTCACCCCCATTAACCACCACCACTTACTCAAGCCTCTTCAGCCAGCACTTGCCCTCAAGGGCCCCCGTCAGCACCTTGGTACCCTCCTCGCCAAGTTGATTGTTAGACAAGCTGGAGGGGACCAAGCATGAGGTGAGGGTTAGACAAGCCTGCCCAGCCCCCTGGAGCTGAGCTGTCAAATCAGCCCCCCTTACCACCCCAGTCCCCCCAGGAGGCTGGCTCTGGGTCCACAGATCCCAGACCACCCTTCCTACCCAGGCTGCACAGGGACATTCCTGGCCCCAAGGGTCAGGCTCTGGGGTCCCCGAGGAGGTGGGCACTGCAGTCACAGCTGACCCAGCTGAGAAAGGATGCCCTGGATGAGGGCTGCACCAGAGGAAGCCAGGGACAAGTGACACACACACACACACACACACACACACACACACACGTGCAATGATCCCTTCTGCCCCTTAGCTCTCTCTCTACCCAACACCCAGAGCCGCTCTAGGCAGAAAAGGATGACGAGCCCCATTTTACAGATGAGGCTGTCCAAGTCTAGAGAGGCACAGTTATTCGCCCAAGGTCACTCTGAGTGAGTGATAAAGTTGGGACCAAGAACCCAGTGCTCAGCCTTTCCCAAGCCACACCCAGAGTTGCCGGGCTTCATCAGGGAGAAAAGCGATAGGCTGAAGTCCCACCACCCACTTTAACCAAAGGCACAACTGGACTCCCCACCCTTTGCCTTTGCTGGGCCATCCCCTCCCGGACCCTTCCACCCCACAACTCACTCCAGCTCCTCCAGGTGGTGACAGTGGCTTAGACCAGATGTCAGGTGGGCTAGCGCACTGGAGCTCACACAGCTGGAGGTCAGCCTGGTGGGGGTCAAAGGGCCAAAGGGAGGCAGGTCAGGTAGGAGCTCTGGGTCTTGGGAGCTCTGGATGCTGGTGGCAGAGGGCAAGGAGGAGGGGTGGGGAATGGTTCCTGGGGGGCAGTGGGAGGGGACCTTCCTTCCCTTCATAAATCTCTCCCATCAGGGAATCTTTAGGTCAAGACATAGCTTGGAGGCAGGAACATGGACTAGTTGAATACTTGTTTAAACCACAATCATTCAGGTAGCAACTTCACAATGTCTGTCATAATCAGGCATCACTGTGAAGTCTAGCTAGTTACTGTCACTTACCATGAGCTCTGCATCTTTATTTAAACAGAAAATGTAGCAAGTATTGGAGAGGGTGTTAAAGATATATTAGTACCAAAAGGAGACCTTCCCCCTGATGTGATAGGCTGAATTAAAAGAGAACCGAGAGTTACAAAAGCTCCACTTTGCAACCATCATCCTTGATATTTGATTCAGGCAAGAATTATCAATGGATGCTAAAATTCGTGGGTGAAAATTTGAGGAAGACCGGGATATTTACATCATCTTAAGGTATCTTCCTACCAGATAACTGGTTAATTACAAAGGGAAAAAACAGTAGCTTTGCAAGTGAAGAAACCTGGCAGACACCACCTTAACCAGGAGATCACAGTTAACATCCCCAGTAAGGGGACAAGTAGGCAACATGTGCCTCCCGATGTGACACACTGAGATGAGCACAGCAGCACCTCTGTGATATTCCTGCCCCAAATGCAGAACCTAAATCTAAGCATGAGGAAACAGCAGAGAAAGCCAAGCAGAAGGGCGTTCTACAAAATAACTGCCATGTAAATGTCATGACGGTGTGAAACACAAAGAGGGGCTGAGGACACATTCCAAATTGAAGGAGACTAAAGAGAGATGACAACTGAACACAGTGTGTGATCCTGGATGGAATCCAGGACTGAAAAAAAAAATGCAATAAACATTATTGGGACAATTGGCAAAATTGGAATATAAACTGTAGCTTAGATAATAGTAGGATATCCATGTTAAATTGCCTGAATTTCATACTTTTACTGGATTAGGGGAGAGAATGTTCTTGTTCTTAGGAAATTCACTGAAATATTAAGGCGCGAAGGGGCATAATTATACAACTTACTTTCAAATGGTTCAGAACAAGAAAGGGGGGGGTGGAGAAGAGAGGGGAGGGATGAGGAAGGAGGAAGGGAAGAAAAGAGCAAATGTGAAAAAATAATGACAAAGGGTTAATCTGGGAAAATGGCATATGGAGGTTCTCAGTCTTCTCATAACTTTTCTATTAGTTTGCAATTATTTCCAAATAATAAAGAAAAGAAAAAGAAAGAATATTCAAAAGGGAATCACCTTCATGCCACATGGCCATGTAGATGACCGTGAACCCTGGCATCATCTCCAGGGTCATGTGTGGTCCCAGCCCATGGGATGGGGACACAGAGCTCCTTTGAGCGCAGGGTTGGGGAGAACAGGAAGTGTGGGGGCGGGGCTGACCTGCAGGGGGCGGGGAGGGCGGGGGAGGCCCTGAGTGAAAGTCTTGTCTGCATACCGGAAGTTCTTCAGCTCAGAGAGGGACAGCAGGAGGCTTTGTAGCAGCAGAGCACTGGCTTCGCAGAGGTTCACCTGGGACAAGCTGAAAAGGCCCAAGCATATTCCAGAGGATTTCAGGCTGGACACACCTCAGGGATCAAACATCACACAAAGATGGGGAGGCCAAGAGAGGGGAAAGGCCCACCCAAGAGCTCCCAGTGGGGCAGGGCTCCCCTCTGCCACCCTGGGGCTCTCCCCCACTGGCCAGGTGTGATTCTCTCCTGCAGAGGGAAGCAAGAATGCTAGCACAGCCCCACGCTCTGCTCATCTCCATCCTGCACTGGCCAGCCTCTCACCTATGGCCTGGAGCGGGCACTGGGGTCAATCAGAGAACTCAGGGCCCCAGACAGTGTTTCAGGGTGCTGACCTGAGCTGCCGCAGCCGGGCACAGGTCTCCATCAGCTGCCTGGCAAGAAGGCTGTGGTGGGTCCCAAGGTCACAGTGAGCCAGCCTGGAGGTGGAGAGGGAGGCAGCAGCTTCTAAACACCTGGCTCAGTACCAGGGACTCAGTCCCTACCTGCAAGGAGCGTTTCTTACGGTGGTAAATAAATGCTAATCAAATAAAGTCCCCCAATTTACTAATCAATCATGGGAAGTACTATGAAGGAGAGGTCAGGATGGGGCACCTGGTATGGCTGTGCAGGTTGTTCACTGCACAAGGAGACCCAGCCAAGGAAGTGAGTTGGGGCTGAGATCCAGGTATGGTCTAGTCCTCACAATGTATACTTGCAGGGCTGCATTCCCCCAAAGAGGTGACATATTAATTTCCAGAAACGTGCTATATGGATTAGAGGAGCTGTGAACCCAGGCATCTGTAAGAAGGGATGATGGGAGGACTTGACTAAGTCTGGGTGGGTTTGAGGGGCCTCCCTGAGATGGTGGCATTTAAACTGAGACCTGAAGGATGAGGTTGAGTTAGCCAGGTGAAGAAGGATGAAGAAGGAAAGGGAGGAGAGAATATTCTGGGCAGGAAACAGCCTGTGCAAAGGCCCTGAGGTCAAAGAGAGCAAGGTGGTGTTTAAGGTACTGGAAGCTTAGCTGGAGCCTAGACTGGGGTTTGGGGTAGGGATAGATAGCATGAAGAGGTAGGTTGGGCTAGATCTCAGAGGCCATGTAGAGACTTTGGGCATCAAAGGACTCTGAGCAGGGGCATAAGAATTATTGGTCAGAAGCAGCAGTACCCCCCTCTCCCCCTCCCTCCATCACCAGCCTCTCTCTTGGGGCCCCAGGTACTGGGTCTCACCTGAGGGTCGTGGCTTCTGGGTTCTCCTGATGGGGAAATTCCAGCTGGATACAGAGCTGCTGCTGGGTCTCGGAGATGCTGAGGAGGGAAGGGGTAGCCAGCGTGAGGCCCACAGCAGCTTTCCCGTATCGGCTGTGCTGGGACTGGGGCTGCTCAGCCGACTGAGCTCCCAGACCCAGTGGGGATGTGGACATAGGTCAGTGAGACACCAGCGCCTTTGCTCTTAGCTAGTCCATGGGATCCTGGCACCTCTGGTCACAGAGCCATGGTGTGTGTTACTGTCACCAGGGGCCCCTTCCAGACAACCAGCATGGACTTCCAGCAGTGTCTGTCTGGGATCTAACAGCTCTTTGTCTTGAACCTGGGGCTGCCTTCCTCTCTCTGGTCCTGCGGCTTGCCTACTGCACAAGTCCCAACAAGTATGTGTAGTCCCTCACATATGCCCCAGGAGCTCCTGCCATCTTGGGGACCCAGAGAACTCACTAGGGATGCAGCTATTACCCCACAGGACAAGAGACCAATGTCTAGATGACGGATGGTCCCAATGGTCATGAAAAGATGAAGAACTTGAGGGGCCTCCTCCCTGGACTTACCTTATTTCAGTGACGTTGCCTGAGGCTTGGGCACAGACTTCTAGCAGCGTGAGCACCCCGGCTTTGCCCACCCACGGCTCCTCCACCCTGTCACAGAGGTGGACACAGACGAAGGTCGCCTAGGGTTAGTGGGGGCGGGGAGGAAAGTGCCAAGGGGGCTGCCTAGAGGCTTTCTGGGTTTTGCTGATTTTAAAAACAATAAAATTTAAAATTAGGCATAAGCATCAAACAGAAAATTAACATCATCCTTGTTCTAACAGTTATGCAACCATCCAAAGGGAAAATATTATTTTTTTAAACAATATTTTTAGGTTTAAGAAAAGGTCTACATAACGTCACGTTGCAAAGATAAGGAAATAAAACTGTATATGAAGCATGATCCCAATTTTGTATTTAAAAAAGGAAAAATATATATGGAAAGGGAAAAACACATATGGTGAGGAACAGGGAGACAGAGCTGTGAGAAAAATATATTAAATGTTAATGGTGATTTTTTCAATTGTAGAATTCTCTTGAAGTGTTTTTATTTTATTTCTTCTTTAGTTTTCAGTATTTTCTGAACTTTCTACAATGTGTATGCATTAATTTAAAGATTTTTTTTGGATGTGAACCATTATTTTAAAGTCTTTATTGAATTTGTTACAATATTGCTTCTGTTTATGTTCTGGTTTTTTGGCCACAAGGCACATGGGATCTTAGCTCCCCGACCAGGGATTGAACCCACACCCCATGCATTGGAAGGCGAAGTCTTAACCACTGGACTGCCAGGGAAGTCCCTGTATGAATTAATTCAGAAGCAGGAAAAAAGAGAGCTGTTTAAAACATTGCTGCTTCTAAAGTTATGTTGAATTTTTTTTCAAAGTACTATTTTCTTCTTACGTTCTTCTGGGTTTTCCACAAATTTCTACGAGGAGTACACATTATTTTTAGAGTAAGAAAAGTTTTATTTTAAAATGCTATTTGGGGTGATCTAGCGATTCTACACCAAAGAATTGAAAGCTGAGATATAGAGATATTCATACACCTATGTTCGTAGCAGCATTATTCACAATAGCCAAAAGGTGGAAGCAACCCAAATGTCCACCGATGGATGAATGGCTAAAGAAAATGTGGTGTGTACACACAGTGGAATATCATTCAGCCTTAAGTAGGAAGGGAAATTCTATAACACGGTACAACAAGGATGAACCCCGAGAATATTATGCTGAGTGAAATAAGCCCATCACAAAAAGACAAATATTGTATGATTCCACTTGTATGATGCACCTAGAGTGAGATCCACAGAAACAGAGTAGAAAGGTGAGTAGAAAGCCAGGGACTGGGGGGAGGGGAAAATGGGGCGGTTAATGGGTACTGAGTTTCAGTTTTGCGTGAAAAGTTTCGGTTACACAGCAATGTGAATGTACTTAACACTACTGAACTGTGCACTTAAAAATGGTTAAGATGGTAAATCTTATGTTATTTGTATTCTACCAGAATTTTAAAAAATGTCGTGTTGGGGAACAACCAGACTCTATGTGCCTCATCATGGGCTGAGTTGAAAAGTGCACAGTATTGGCCATGAAGTAGGTATTTTTAGACACAAATCCCATGGAGCCTTTCCAGTTCCAGGAAAGTCAGGGGTTAGAGGAACAAACTCAAAGACATCACAAGGAAGCACCAGACAGAGCCAGAAAGCGGGACGGTCTACAGCACAGGGGACCGATTTTGTCAACGGTTCACCCATTAAGAGTCCAAAGAGCCATCACCACTCCATGCTAATGGGGACCTTGACGGGATCCTGGATCCAAAGAGCCAGCCGTCCCATCTGGGGAGAGTGGGAAATTTTAGATTGGACTGGGTAATACCTGACACTAAGGAATTGCTACTGATTTTTGTAGGTGTCCTAATTCAACTGTGATTATGTAGAAAATGTCCTTATTTTTTAGAAACTTGTGGTGAAATATTTTGGAGTGATATTTTATGAGATCTATAACTTACTTTAAGACACTTCAGCTAAAAAGTAAAAATTCGAGGCAAATATGGAAAACCAGGAACAACTGTCAGAACTAGGTGATGAGAAAATGAGTTTTCAGAATTGTTTTTCTACTTTTTGGAATCTTCTGTTTTTCTTAAGGTTTTTTTTTTTTTTTTTTTTTGCGTACGCGGGCCTCTCACTGTTGTGGCCTCTCCCATTGCGGAGCACAGGCTCTGGACGCGCAGGCTCAGCGGCCATGGCTCACGGGCGCAGCCGCTCCGCGTCATGTGGGATCTTCCCAGACCGGGGCACGAACCCATGTCCCCTGCATCGGCAGGCGGACTCTCAACCACTGCGCCACCAGGGAAGCCCTTTCTGAAAGTTTTAAAATGATCGCAGTGAACATACAAACATGATATTTGTTACGTGTTATTTCTGACCTCAGCTCAGTGTCCTTTTCAGTTTCCTCTTTTTCTGAAGTCTCCAAACATAGGCCCCACCTTGGGGAGGGCGGCTTCTCTGCGCCTGAGCGGGTTTCTGGGACTAATGGGCAGGGTGGTCCTACATGCAGGTGGCAGGGCTCCGGACGCAGGAAACGGCTAAGACCATGACCTCGGGGGGACCCATACTTCAGAGCCCACCTCTGCCCCCCATTCCCACCACGGCCCCCTCCCAGGGTCACGGGCAGGCGATACCTGAGAGTGAGAAGCCCTGCCGGCCACTTTAGCAGACCCAGGAGGATGGTTAGCTGCTCCAGGCCCAGGAAGCACTGGGTCAGCCTGCAGACAGAGGTCAGTTACCAGAGAGGTTCTGGCAGGGACTCTCCACCCCTCAGCTGCCCCCACGGGCGGGGCCTGGTCACTCACGTGAGCTCCGTCAGCCACAGGGCCTGGCTCAGGCCAGTGGCCAGTCTGGGCACGTGCTCTGGCCTGAAGCTGCACTCGCTCAGCCTGAGGGCAGAGGGCAAGGGACAGAGTTTGGGCGAGGCCTGTTGGGACTGCCAGGACCCACGGGGGAGCCTCCACTGAGTGCAAAGGCCTGGACCAAAGGCCTGAGAAAAGGCCAAAGATGCAACCCCTGCTCTGGGAGCTTCTCTTCTCTTTGGAAAGACCACCTCCCAAGAAGGTGCGAGGAGTCAGTCATTTACTGAGCCCTGACTATAAGGCACGCCCTGGGCCAGCCTCTGGGTGCGCCATGTGAGCACGCAGGAATGCCTGCCTTACATGTAGTATCTCACTGAACCCCAAAAGCATCACCTACAGACGGAGAAAGTGGCCAACCCGAGGACACACAGCTGGTAAGAAGTAGGGACAGATTCGGGTTTCAATCCAAGTCAGCCTGACTCCATACCCCAAACCCATGACCGCTTCCCTAGTCTCCAGTACCACCCTAGTTCAGGCTCCCTCGGGGGCAGGAGGGACTGGGATTCTTGCTGTGGCCCTGCTCTCCCACTGCCTGGCCCCGTGTGGCCGGCAGACAGGCCTCGGGACACTGTCTCACAGACAGACGGGCTGAGAAGAGGGCCCAGCACAGCACCACGGGGCCGCTCCCTCTCACAGGACAGGGGCCACCAGAGGTGTCCAGGAGGGGCTGACATTTGAGCTGGGTCTTAAAGGATTAGGAGAATTTGATCTCAGAAAAGGTAAGGAAGAGAACGTCAGGCTGAGTACGCAGAAGCAGGGAAGCTTCATCAGGCAGTGCGTGTTTGGTGAACAAAGATCCCTTGTGGCTGAATTTGTGCGCACATTTGCTGTGTGTGTGGGTGGGTGGTATGTGGTGTGTATATACTTGGTGTGAGGGTGGTGTGTGTGTGGAGTGGGGTGGGGGGAGTGAGGAGGAATATGGCGGGAGGTGACAGCCAGATCAGACTCTGAGGGAGAAGACCAGGCCAAGGAATTTGGACTTTATCCTGAGGGCAACTGGGAGCCCCCGAAGGGCTTTGAGCAATGGAGTACCACATTCAGATGTGTGTGTTGGGAAGACCCCTCCAGGTGCTGTGGGATAATTGGAGGAGGCCTAGCCAGAGGCAGTGGACCGATTCAGAGGCCACGACCAAAGGTGACGTAAGACATGTAGAGGAACTAACCCAAGGATGAGAGAGACAGACAGAGCTCAAGGCTACCGGGGGGGATAATAATAACAGTAATAATAAACAACTGATATAACACTCAAATAAGCCAGGGCCTTTCCAAGCACTTTATATATATTAACTCATTCAGTCCTCACAATAACCCTAAAGGGTAGGTCTCACTATTATTCCCATTTTACAGATGAGGAATTGAAACACAGAGAGGTTAAGTCACTTGTCCAAGGTCACACAGCTGCTAAGTGGTAGAACTAAGATTTATCCCAAGTGGCTCCAGAGTCTGATCTCTTAACTCAGAAGCCTCCAGACTTATAGTTAGGACGTGGCTAAGGGGCACAAATACCACTCAAAGGCCCAGCCCAGGGGCTGGAGGTAAGGGGAGATTGGGGGCAGATGTGGGGGAGAGGCACCCAGGCAGTAGCTTGAAGCAGGGTGTGTGAAGGAGGAGAGGACCCAGAGAGGAAGGAGGCATGGAGGCCACCACAGGGTCAACCTCCTCTCCCTTGTCCCCCCTTCCCGTCCCCCCAGACCAGAAATTACCTCAGTGTCTTCCTAGCCTCCTCCTGGCGGGAGAAGTGAACCCAGAAGCTCTGCTTGGAGCCCAGGCTGCAGAGAGAGGGGTGTATGGAAGCCGAGGGCCCAGCTTTGCCGGCATCCTTGGGACCCAGGCACCAGGGGGGTGCGGGAGGGAAGGGGGCTGGGTCTTCAGGGGCAAGGGCGGGTGGAAGCCACGGGAGAGACCCTTGACGACCAGAGGAGAGACCCGTGCCGACCCGAGGAGACTCCCACCTCCTTCTTCAAGGACCCCAAACCTGGTGTTCCCTAACCCGTGGCCTCCCTAGGCCCTGTGGCACACGGGCCTCAGAGGATGGAAACTATGATCCCACGTTCAGTGAACCCTGAGACTCAGAGAGGGCGGAGGTTGCCCAAGTCACACAGATGGAGGGCCACTGAGTGTGCGAGGCTTGCTTCCCCACCAACGTGGCACCAACGTCGCCTTACTTCACTGAGGCCTCCCGGATGCGTGGGCAGGAGGGGAGAGTCTCCACCAGGTACAGGACGCTTTCCTGAGAGACACCGTTGTGGCTTAGACTAGAAGAGAAAAGAGGTTCAGGATGGGGGCTGGGGGAAGCACCTCAGTGGAGCCCTGCCCAGCCCCCCTCGTCTCTTCCCTTCCAGCTGTCATCTCCCAGAGGAGCGTCCTCAGTGTCCGAGTGTCCATTCTCCAGGTGGAGACACCGAGGTCCAGAGAGAGGCCAGAGGGGCGCTATCCCCACACGGGGCAGGTCAGGCACCAGACTGGTCTGAGACTGCGTGATGATGAGGCCAGGCTGGCAACTCCAGCCCCACAGGGGTCAGGGATGCCCAGAGCACAAAGCCCAGCTGCCTAGCAACGGGTTGTATCCTGGCTCTGGCCGCCAGCCTCCCAGGTCACTGGGGAGACTGAGTGAGGATGACTTCCTAGGGACCCTCCCTGCTGTGGCGACATCCCCAAATCTGTGTCCCATAGATTTGGTCAGAGGAGCTTCAGGGATGGGGTGGACAAAGAGCCAGGACAACTGAGACCCAGCAGCTGGTTAGAGATGAACTGTTGCTCCCTACCCGGAGTCAACTTGGATCACCCAGCTTTAGTCACAGCCTCTCCTGGGTGTCTGGTGGGAGCTCTGCCCATAGTGGGCAATGAGGGAAGGAAGAAAGGACCCAAGGTAGGCAGGGGTCAAGGTAAGAATCAGCCCTTTCCCCTCCCTAGCCCTTGTCCTCTGCAGTTCTCTAGGGATGCCTCAAAAGAAGCCCACTAATGTTCTTGGCCCTGGGGAGTCTTCCTCCTTGCTGTCTTTGAAGCTGCTCGACACTTACTTAAGTGAACCGGAGATGGGCACCTGAGGGAGACATTCCAGGAGGCACCTGAGCCCGGCATCACCCAGCAGGTTTGCTGAAAGGCTGCAAGAGGTACGAGGGGGTTGTTGGTGCTCAGATGTGCCTTCTCTTCAGTTACCATCACTGCTACTCTACCCACTCAGCACTGCCATTATCCCCTCCACCACTCTGCACTACTTCTGTTCCAACAGCACCGTCACCACCACCAGCACCATCCCATCACTGCTACTAGGCATCACCACCTCCATCACCACTAGAATTATCACCACCATCCCCCTCACCAGCACCACAGTTAACCAGGCCTCATCTTCCCGTTCAGTATCTGGTGACCACTCCCAGGACTCATGTGCCTCCAGCAGGCTTTCAGGGGTTAGAGAAAAACCAATTCACTTTTACCATGCACTTGGCCTGCATCCGTTGGGAGCCATAATTTTTGAACATGAGTAAATTCAGGAAAAAGAAAGATATTTGGAGGATGTATTTATCCATCAGATTTCTTCTTTTAATTTGAGAATGCAATATCTGAAATTGCACTGGAAGACTTTCTTATTTCCCTTCATTGTAGCATTCTATGGTTTTAGCTACAGTTTCAGAAACAATATAATCAGCATGCCCGGGAATATCTGATTTTTGTCCTGCATCTTTGAACTCATTTTGCCCCTGATTATGACACTTTTTTTTTTTTTTTTTTTGGTTACAAGGCCTCTTACTGTTGTGGCCTCTCCCATTGTGGAGCACAGGCTCCGGACGCGCAGGCTCAGCGGCCATGGCACACGGGCCCAGGTGCTCCGCGGCACGTGGGATCCTCCCGGACCGGGACACGAACCCGTGTCCCCTGCATCGGCAGGCGGACTCCCAACCACTGCGCCACCAGGGAAGCCCCTGATTATGACACTTTTAAGCCTTGTTTATTTTGTCTTTTCCTGAGAAATTTTAAAAATGAAAAACTAGTTTGTCTCAGGAAGACACTTAATAATCTTTAAAATAAGCAAAAGTTCCCTCTATAATGAAAAAACAGGAAAACTTAAAGACATCTTGCTTTTTCATCTTTCTTTAAAATACATGATTTTCATCAGCCGTATTCCTCTCCTTGGCCACATCACAACAGGAACTTAAATTGTGTTTTTTCGGGTAGACCGCTCTCTTTACATCCTGCTTGTCCTAAGCTGGACTCCTAACAGTTTTGAGCAAAGACTGCATCGTACTAGTTGTGTGACTTAGGGCAGGTTCTTAAACTCTCTGTACCTCAGTTCTCTCATCTATAAAATGGGGATAATAGTACTTAGGGTTGTTGGAAGGATAAAAAGAATATGTAAAGCACTTAGGACAGTGGAGAAACTACTCAATAGGTATTAGCTTTGTTTCACCTACCCACGCGGGCTGCGCTATTTGGGCACCCAAGACAGGCCACACAGATACCACTTCTCATCCATACGACAGCCCACAAATCCCCACCCTCCAGGGCCCTCCGCGGGCTGAGGCGTTTGTTGCTCTTAACCACCTGCCAGGCCAACCAACGGATCCCTTCTTTCAGGCGCCACCAGCCAGCAGAGCTCCAGTGCCCTGATCAACATGAGGCCAAGGGGCTCCTGTGGCCCTTTGTGAAGGACTCCCCAAATTAGATCAAGGGCATACCCTGAATTAGCTCCACCATGGTGGCAGTGGGGAATGGTAGGGATAAAATGGGGACAGAGAAACCACGTGGACGTGACTGAGTCCCAGGCATCCCATGCCCTGTTAGCTGGTCCTGAGAGGTGCTGAGTGCACACACACACGCATGCACACACACCCCGTCGGTGCCACCCAGGCACACGCTCCCGGGCTCTTCTCCCCACTCCTGCCCGACTTACTCCAGCTGGCTGAGGTCTTCACACTTGCTCAGCAACCAGCAGAGTGGCTCCACATGCTCCTGGCTGAGGCCGCAGCCTGTGAATCTGCTGCAGGAAGGGGTGCAAACTGGGAATGGGGCCACTCAGACCCTCTGCCCTGGCTAGTCCTGGGTGTGGCCTCTGAGTTTCAGCGGGGCCTCACCCAAGCTTGGATTCTCTGGAAACATCCAACATCCACCACTCCCACCTCCCTCCACAGCAGATCCCACCAACATTCTCCCTCTGGGGAGGTGGTTCTCAAAGTGTGGTCCCCGACCACCCCCACCAGCATCCCTTGGGAACTTGGTGAGAGGCATGTTCTGGGAACGCAACCCAAATGCGCTGAATTAAAAGCTCTAGGAACAAGGCTCTCCAGACTGATTCTGATTCAAGGTGAACTACAGCTCTTGGCGGTCACTTTAATGGACAGACATGAGGGTGGAGTGGAGGAGACTAAGGGTGATGTCTGCTCCTGCAGAGGGTTATTGATGCTGGAATCAAAAGTAATAGTAAGTGTCTTTGAGAGGCCTACACCGAGACTACACAATAAGGTAAATGAACAGCTTACGGCCAGCCAGCAACTTAAAAAAAAAAATCTTAAAATAAGAAAGTACCTAAAACCAGTATCTAAAATTTTTATCATTGTTACTCTCCTTCGTGATTTTTTCCATAGTCCTAAATTCCCTATTACCCTACTGTTTACTTCATATTTTTATTTAAAAAAATTTTTTTTTTTTTTGCGGTATGCGGGCCTCTCACTCTTGTGGCCTCTCCCGCTGCAGAGCACAGGCTCCGGACGCGCAGGCTCAGCGGCCATGGCTCATGGGCCCAGCCGCTCTGCGGCATGTGGGATCTTCCCAGACCGGGGCACGAACCCATGTCCCCTGCATCGGCAGGCGGACTCCCAACCACTGCGCCACCAGGGAAGCCCTACTTCATATTTTTAAATCAGCTCATTCTTTTTATTTAATGCATTTATTGGAAAAGGAAACCCTGTATCACTCACTCCAATGGAAAACTGGGATTGCCTGCCCCAAACAGACCATAAGCATAAGGATACAGGAAACAGGAGCAAAATATCATCATTAAATTCAAGCCAGACACTGGCACCTGCTGAGAGCTCTCTCTTTATTTAAAAGGGAGCTTAGCAAATGTTAAGAGGTGTTGTAGACACACTAACACCTAACTGAGGCTTCCTCTTGGCCTTAATCAGAGAATTGAAAAGGGAGGAATTCAATGAAGCTGAAGTACTCTACTATCGGCCCAACCTCCTAAAAATCCTCCCAGCCTGGCCTTTGCCCTGCATTTTGGAAATCACAGACTTGGAAACTATGAAGGTATTCTAGAAGTCACGATAGTGTTGGGTTAAGACAGGAATTGGAAAGTCTACAGCCCAAGACCGCCTGCTTTATAAGACCTGCACACTAAGAATAGTCTTTCCATTTTCAAACAGTTGAGAAAAAAATCAAAAGGAGAGTAACATTTCATGACACACAAACATTACATGAAATTCATGTCTCAGCGTCCATAACTCCAGTTCTACTGGCACACAGACACACGCCTTCGTTTACATATTGTCTGTGTTGCTTTCAAGCTAAAACGGCAGGGTTGAATAGCTGTGATAGAGACCCTATGGCCTGGAAACCCCCAAATATTTACAATCTAACCCTTTACAGAAGAAGTTTGCCTGCCCCTGGGCCAGGAGCGCTATAAGACTCCCTGGATTCAAGTCCCAGCTGTACCCCTTCCTGCTGCATGACCACAGCTGTGAGGCTTATAGGACGTAATCTGCATGAGGCTCTTAGAATGGTGCCCTACAGATGCTCAGCAAACATCAGCTCTTTATTTATTGTTATTTCGCAGCTGAGGAGGCTGAGACGCAGAGAGAAGGGTCTGGCCCAAGGTCACTCGGTGAGCCAGTGGCATCAAATAGCTACCAGAAACATCATCTCTGTACTTAGAGGTTATTCCCTGGCCCCATTATCCTGTGCAATGCTGGCTCCCCTGTCACCAAGGCCACCACAAAGCACTGGTCCAAGAGTCAGCGGTGTGGCGCAGGGGGACACTCGTAACTGTGAGTGCCTCTCGTGCCTTACACATTGCCTCAATTCCTCTTCGCCAACGGCCTGCAATATAGCGTCTCCCTTCTCCAGCTGCGGGAGCTGAGGATTGGAAAGGTTAAGGAACTTGCCCAAGGTGCCAGACCCTTGTGTGGTTGGTATTTAAAGCTTTTCCTCAGACCAGGCCCCTGAGCTCTAATCCTGTCTGCTGTGGACTCCTTGTTTGCCCGTGACGGAGCCCAGCCCTCTCAGTCTGTCCTCTGCTCTGGACATCCAGGAGGCAAGTCTGCTCGTCCTCAATCCCCACAGGCTGCTCGGACACGGTTCCGGGGGACTTACCCACAGCACCCACCTTCCTGCTCCTCGCTAGACCTGAAGTGCAGGGTCGCGTGATGCAGGGACCTGGAGCAGACAGCACCTGGGTCAGCCACCCTTGACCACAGCTTCAGCATGCCCCCAGGGGCAGGCCCCCCTCCTCCAGCAGCTGAGTCTCTGATTTGGGTCCCACTATCTCCATCCTAGCCCCTCACATCCAACAGGCTCCAGGCACCACCCTCCTAGGTTCCGGTTGTCCCAGGGCAATGCTCACCTGAGATCCACCTTCTGAACCCGCGGGCACAGGCTGAAGATGTCAGCCAGCAGGAGGGGGCTCCTTGGGGACAGTTCCATCTGGGTCAGCCTGAGTAGGAAAGGGGCGGGGCCCTATGTGAGCAAGTTGGAACCAAGCAAGATCAGTGGGCAAGAAGCCTGGACAGGCTGGAGGTGAATGAAAAGGATGGGGGGCTGGTGGGTCAGCCAGGCATTAAGGAAGGAGACAGGAACTCAAGAGCGAGAAATAGGAGCTTGAGGTCAAGTGGACTGAGGTTTGAGTCCTAGTTCTGCTTACTGGCTGTGTGTCCTTGGATAAGTAGCTTAACCTCTCTGAACCTCAGTTTCCTTATCTGGAAAACAGAACTACTTATACACCTTCCTCTAGGGTGTCATGAGGACTGGATCATATCAAGCCTGGGCACTGCCAGCACGATACCCATGCTTATTGTTATTATTATATTGTTTTTATCCTAAGCACTCGTAGGTGAGTCCTTGCTGTCAAGGAGCGGGAAGCTTTAGGTCCTTAAGAGTTTTTCAAGCTCAGCATTACAGAGATAATTCTTTGGATTTGGGGGCTGTCCTGTAGGAACTTTACCAGCATCCCAGACCTCTACTCACTAGATGCCAGCAGTAGCATGACCTCCCACCCCCTCTGCCATCATGACAACAAAAATGTCTCCATTGCCAAATGTCTCCTGAAGGGCAAAATCACCCTCCAGCTGTGAACCACTGCCTTAGAGAAAGTGAGATGCTTCCATCTTGCCCTTGGATGCATCCTTGGGGTCTCCATTTCCCTCGCTCCATAAACCCTCCATCAGCTTGTCTACACCCCCAAGATCCACCCTGAATCTACCTACTTCCCTCTCTCCCCACCAATTCCCAGCCCTCATCATCTCTTACCCTGGCTGTACAACCCCCTCCCTGCTCTTGCTTCCACGCTTGTCCCAGTTCCTTCTCTACCCAGCAGCCAGACTAAGGTTTTGAAAAGACAAATCGTTCCTCTGCCTTGGGCAAAATCCCAAACTCCTTGCCACAGCTACCAGGCCCTGTGTGACCCGGCCCAGGTTCATTTCTCTACCTTCTCTCCTACAACTCTGCCGGCCACTGTGCTCTGGCCACACTGGCCTTTCTGACTGTTCCTCGAGCCCACTGAGTTCAATCCTGCTTCAGGGCCTCATGCATGCTGTTCCATCTCCTTGGAATGCTGTTCCCTGCTTTTCAAAAGGCTGGCTCCCTCTCTTCCTTCAGGTAGCACCCTAGCGTCCCTCCTCAGAGGCGTTCCCTGACCACCCCTGCCATTGTCTAAATCACCTCCACAATCACTCCTTACCACATTCTCTAGAAAAATACTTTATCACTCTCTGAATTCATCTTATTTGCTTTCACTTTGCTCGTTGACCAGCTCCCTCTACTACATGGTAAGCTCCAGGAAGATAAGGACCTCGTCTTTTTTTTTTCCCTCTCTCAGCTGTGTCTCCAGCACCCCAAGCAGTGCCTGGTCCACAGCAGTGCACAAACAGTATGGACTGAATAATACTGGGTTGGCCAAAAAGTTTGTTTGGGTTTTTCAGTAAGATACTATAGAAAAACTCAAATGAATTTTTTGACCAACCCAATACAAAGCTTAAGCACTGGTGACCATCAGGCCGGCTACCTCATTCCAAAGACAGATGAGGAGTTGGGGGCTGATGCTGTGTGACTTGGGCATAGAGAAGTCCCTCTCTGGTCTGAGGTTCCCTATCTATTCATGTTAGCCCACAACTTCTGTGTCCAAAGGAACCCTTCCTGATCCGTCCTTTCCTGTCAGGGTGGGACCATAGTGGATTCTGTAGTTTGACATGGGCTCTGCCACACTTGCCCACCTCTGGGAAGTCATACATCTCCTCCCTCCCCTCCCAAAAGGACTCAGGGATAAGTGAGATCCTGGATGTGATGTCAGCTGTCTCAGGTGTCCCGGAGATCCTTAGCAGGAGTACTTATATTGCTGTTTTTAATGGTATGATTTAATTTTCTGTTGTATTTTTCCATATCAGCTGTAGCTGCTCTTGCCCCCTGTTGGAAAAATATTTAAAGTAAATCCTTTTTTAAATTCTAACCAGTCTGAGCTGAAATTAGAAAATAGAGTTTTAAATACTTTGGGGATGCTGCTTAAATTCCCCTTTTACAGAATTAGATGGTGACCTTTAAAAACTGGTGTGTGGGGACTTCCCTGGTGGCACAGTGGCTAAGAATCTGCCTGCCAATGCAGGCGACACGGGTTCGAGCCCTGGTCTGGGAAGGTCCCACATGCTGTGGAGCAACTAATCCCGTGCACCACAACTACTGAGCCTGTGCTCTAGAGCCTGCGAGCCACGACTACTGAGCCTGTGCTCTAGAGCCCGCGTGCCACGACTACTGAAGCCCATGTGCCTAGAGCCCGTGCTCCGCAACGAGAGAAGCCACCGCAATGAGAAGCCCGTGCACCCCAATGAAGAGCAGTCCCCGCTTGCCACAACTAGAGAAAGCCCGTGCTCAGCAATGAAGACCCAATGCAGCCAAAAATAAATAAATAAATAAATATATATATATATAAATTACCAAAAAAACCTAACTGGTGTGTGATATATACATGACCTATAACTATAGTCTCTTTATAGGAGTAGGTGACCTTTCTGTGGGTGGAGAGAAGAACGATGGCCCATTTGTCACAGGCCTTCCATTCTTCAAGGTGCTTTTAGAGCAACTGTCTTGTTTGAATCCCAACCCTGGGGGAAGGGTTGAAGAATATTAGTCCCATTTGTCAGATAAGGAAACTGAGGCCTAGAGGGGTCAAATAACTCCCCCCTGAGGTTGACAAGGTATTAGGGAAGAGCTGGAAGCAGACTTGAGCTCCCAGTTGTGCCAGGTAAAATGATGAAACAGCCCAAGAGAAGCGGGGAGGGTGCAGAAGGGGATGGCTTTGCAATGCAAGAGCCTCAGCCCTGCACAGTGAAATGGGGAAACCAGTCTTACTGCAGCAGGCTTAGCTCAGGGAGCCGGGGTAGGTGGTGCAGCAGGGTCTCCAGGCTCTGGTCACTCAGGACCTTGCAGGACAATCTGTGAAACAAAGCATCTGAATGAGGTGGGGAAATCTTGGGAAAAGCTAGATGGGTCCTAAGCCAGGATTGCCCAAAACACCCCCTCTGAACACTGGGGTCCTTGAGTTATCATTGAGGCTGGAGGAAAAGGAAGGTCATATATATGCTTGGAAAATGCTGGGTTAAGCCCCATTAGTTTTCTTTGCTGCAGGACTTCTCAGAGCCTTTAATCTGCCCTTGTGCATTGTGAATTTCTAAAGGGCTATAGTAGACATTTTTCCCCCAAAAGGCATGGACTGGTAGGATTATCATTTTGAGGGCCATGAAGACTGGTACCCTGGAGAACACACCTGTTAAGAAGACAATGCCGCCTTAACCCAAAGTAGTGAACATAATGGTGGCCAGCAAAGGAGAGATGCAGGGTAGCTCGGGTCCCTGACTGCCCATCAAAACCAGACCAACCAGCTGATCACTTGTCTAGATAATTCATCAGAAGCCAGTCCACTTAGGAGAAACTCCTGATATCCATCCTTTGGTCTCTGCTCTGGCTGGAGGACTGGGTCAACCAGAGTCTCTAAGCACCTTGGGGTTTACATACAGCCCTCCCTGCGAGTCTAGAGCCACTTCCTGACCCCCAGAGGCGTTTGGACTGTATTTTCCTTCTGCCTTTCTCCCCTTTTGCTGCCCCTTCTCTCTGTCCCTGTTTCTTTGTTCCCTGCAGGCTGCCCTATCCCCTCACTGGGGCTGCCAGGAGCCTGGCCCATCTCCATCGCATTACTGTCTGGCTGAAGGGGGACCCAGCTTCACCTTGCGGGGAACAGTAAAAGGGGCCACCTATGGCTCTGGAACTGGAAGCGAGGAGCCTCTGCCAGGGCCCAGGCTGTAGGCTCAGCACTACCCGCTCTGTCCCGGGATTGGGCCTGGGGCTCTGAGCACAGGCAGAGCAGAGGCGTTCACTGAGGGGTGGTCTGACCACAAACACCAGTGGCTTTCCACTGGACCCCAAATACACACAGTGCTACGGCCTCTGCTTGGGATCAATGTGGGGTTTACACACGGGTTTTTTTTTTTTTTTTTTTTTTTTTTTAAGCAACAGAAACTTTACCTTTATTTTGGCATTTGGAATGCCAAAATGTACACATCATGTACCATGGTGATGAGTGGTATTAAAAACCAGGGGCAAGTGTGGGGGGAACTCTCTGCACTAGTTTTGCAACTTTTCTGAAAGCAAGCCTTAAACTATTCTAAAATAAATGGTTTATTTGAAAATTCATTGGTTCCACACATCCTGATATTCTAGGAAAGCCACAATATTCTATTATGAGACAAAAGTTCACTGCAAATCTTGTTAAGATCCTGTATCTGTTAACATCAAAACCACCTTCCTCCATATCCATAAGTGTTGGAACATGGAGAGACGTATGGAAGGACACACCCCAGTTGTCAACATGGATAATGAGCTTGTTGCAAGGACCAGAGGGCATTTGAGGCGGGAGCCAGAAAGCAAGAAAAAAAAACCAAAACTGTAGCAAAATGGAAAAACACATATGGGGCGATGGAAAGTGAAACTGCAGAACGCAGCTGGCCTGTGATTTCGAACAGGAAAAAACTTGTATATGCAAATGGAGAAGGTCACCAGGACAAATGACAACACTGAGTTGATGAGGGACGGGGTTATTTAGATGAGGGAGGTTTGTCTTGGGTTTCTTTATTTTAAGGTAATTATTGTAATAAAATTACAACGAGGATGAGGGAAGGAAAGCCTGACCGACCACTTTGCAGATGACAAAGCTGAGGCCTGAGGGGTTAAAGCCATTTGCCCAAAGTTACCCAGCTTGTTGGTGGCTGAGCCAGGACTCCTGATTCTAAGCCCAGTCTCTGGTCACAGACCCAGGCGTTCTGGGGTGAGCTGGTAACCCAGGCTGGGGGATGCCCTGAGGAGGAGCCTTCAGAATGACAGGCTCCAGCCACAGAGGCAGGCCCAGCTGAGTGCCAGGGTGGGGCTCCAGGGGTGGAGGGGGGCAGACTGGGGCTCCCAGGTGCCCTGAGTTGAGCCGATGGGGAGATGAAGCCCTGGGCCCGGCACGGCCTCTCTCAGTGGGAGGGATGAGGTGTCTGAAGCTGGGGCCATTGGGAGGCAAGGAGCCTTCCACCAATGGGTTAGGGAACTCCCATGGCGTAGGGCTACGGGGTCTGGCAGGAAGGGACCAGGAGGGACTCATCTGGTCTCTAACCAGGACACCCCACCCCAGGTCACTGGGCAGGTGCCCACGTTGTGCCCCTGCGGCTGTGTCCTCCATACTTACTTGACTTCCAGAGGCCCCGGGCACTTCTCCAGAGTCTCACAGAGGCGGGAGAGGCTCAAGGGTTCCAGCTGACATTCCCTGAGGCTGAAAAGGGGCAGCGGGCAGGGCGAGGGGGTCAGGGAGGGCTCAGGGTCCCTGTCCAACCCCAAGGGCTCTCCGCTTCTCCCAACAACTCTGCTCCCCAACCTGCAGGCCGCCAGCCCCTGCAGTGCCAACAGGGCACACTCTCCACCCCTTACAGCCCCCAGTCCCCCTACTCCGACAGAAACAGTCAAGGACCCTGAGCGCCCAGCTGCCCTCGTCCAGTCCCAAGTCCTCCCCACTGCCCCTGCCTACATCCAGGCTATCGCTGTCACTCACCTGGGCCACTTGAACATCCCCTGGGTTCCCCCTCTTGCCTCCCTGCAATCCTCCACCCTGCCAGCGTCTTAGCTTTAACAAATACAAATCTGGCCAGCCTCTCCTGTGCTGAAAACCCTCTGTGGCTCCCCATTATCCTTAGGCTAAAAGCAAAACGCCTTTCCCATGTCTTCACTCGCCTCCACTCTCCCTGTGTAAGCTCTAGCCACACAGAAATGCTTCCCCAGAGCCAAGGCTTCACTCCCCTGGGCCTCTGCACGATCTGTCCCACCTGCCTGGGATCCTGTCCACCCCGTCCCCAGAGAACCCTGTTCAGGCCCCAGCTAACGTGTCTCTCTTCTTAGGTGAGGAAATCAAGCCCCAGAGAGGGGAGGGGCCCAGCCAGGGTCTCACAGCCCCTCATGGCAGAGCTGGGAAGTCTTCAGAGAAAACAATGCAGAATCTTCTCTACAGGGAACGCGGGAGCCAGCAGCCCCGTCACCAGCCCTCACACTTCTTCCCCCTTCTCTCAAACTCTCTTTCCCGTCTCCCAACCCCCAGGCTCTCCACTCCCTCACCCCTTACCCCATTGTGGTTACCCCTAAACAAGAAGTGGGTAAGATGGTACCAGAAGCTCCTGGAGATGCGGCGCTGACCAAACCCCAAGAACTGGGCTCCAGCTTGGAACTCTGGCAAAGATCCAGCAGCCGACAGATCCCTAGGAGTGGGGAAATCATTTTGAAAGGAAAGTTCAAAGCATCCACATTGGAAGGCTAGACTCATTAGTCGGGGCTGGAAGGGGCCCTCGGGACAGTCAAGCCCCTCCCTGTACGGATGGGGCAACTGAGACCCGGGGAAGGGACGCCAGAGTGAGGATGCCAGCAGCTTATGCCTGTCCAGGTGGGCAGCACCTGAGCAGGTCGAGGGGAGCTAGGGCAGAGCCCTCCTCTTTCTGACCACTGCTGTAGGTATCATCCACCTATCTGTGCCTCAATTCTTTTGGCTTCAAGAACCCAGAGAGTTCCCAAAAATGGAGACCCTAGCTCGGCAAGCAATACCACCCCGGCTTCAGGCAGCCCACCTGCTACAGCAGTGTTTTTCTCTAACACATTAGCTGGAAATGCACTCTGCCCAGGGGCTCCGCTTTAAGAGCCCTGTGCTTTGGCCCAGGTGAGACCAGGGTGCCGGGCTCCACTAGGGGGCAGCCGGGAACACTGCGGAGAACTAGTTTACCGCAAAGATGTGGAAACTTTTTCAGAGCGCCAACGGTTCTTGGCTTCTCTAACGTGATACTCAGAGTGTGAAAGGGCAGGGATTCATATGAAGTCAGGACGCTGCAAAGTGCTGCAAAGGTCCTCAGTGGCAGAAACACAGCGGCTCCCCTCTACCCTCCCACACATCCGCTCTCCTAACACCTGCTCTGCTGCAGCATCGCCCGTCAGCCCCTCCCTCCCATGTGCTCCCTCTTAGGAAAGATTGAAAGCAACTGATTACCGCAAATTTACATGGGGGCGGGGTTACAGAAGTGATTAATTGCAGCCTGCCAGACCCGGGCTAACAGTCAGCATGGGTCTGGGGGTTGGGGGCACCTATAAGAAATGGGGACCAGAGAGAGAGAGGGGAGGCCCCCCAACCTCAGAGCTTTCCCTCCTTACCTGTCTCTTCCATCACCCCTCAGGATGACGCTTTGGCTCTCAGAGCTGCAGGCAGAGAGGAGGCGGCAGCCTGAGAAAGGGCCAAGGGCCCCCTTCCCAGGCAGCAGCAAGAGACAGACAGGCTGGGTCAAGCAAGACCTGGATGGTGGCCTGTTTTCTCAGCAAATAGGACAATAAATATACATACAAAGCACACCACCGATATGATTTCCTTTGATTCTCACAATAAAATTGTGAGGTAAGGAAGTGGTTTTTTTTTTTTTTAACATCTTTATTGGAGTATAATTGCTTTACAATGGTGTGTTAGTTTCTGCTGTATAACAAAGTGAATCAGCTATACATATACATATATCCCCATATCCCCTCCCTCTTGAACCTTCCTCCCACCCTCCCTACCCCACCCCTCTAGGTGGACACAAAGCACGGAGCTGATCTCCCTGTGCTACGTGGCTGCTTCCCACTAGCTATCTATTTTACATTTGGTAGTGTGTATATGTCCATGCCACTCTCTCGCTTCGTCCCAGCTTACCCTTCCCGGTCCCCGTGTCCTCAAGTCCAGTTCTCTACATCTGCGTCTTTATTCCTGTCCTGCCCCTAGGTACTTCAGAACTTTTTTTTTTTAAGATTCCATATATATATATATATATATGTTAGCATATGGTATTTTTCTCTTTCTGACTTACTTCACTCTGTATGACAGTCTCTAGGTCCATCCACCTCATTACAAATAACTGAATTTCGTTTCTTTTTATGGCTGAGTAATATTCCATTGTATATATGTGCCACATCTTCTTTATCCGTTCACCTGTTGATGGACACTTAGGTTGCTTCCATGTCCTGGCTATTGTAAATAGAGCTGCAATGAACCTTGTGGTACATAACTCTTTTTGAATTATGGTTTTCTCAGGGTATATGCCCAGTAGTGGGAATGCTGGGTCGTATGGCAGTTCTATTTGTAGTTTTTTAAGGAACATCCATACTGTTCTCCATAGTGGCTGTATCAATTTACATTCCCACCAACAGTGTAAGAGGGTACCCTCTTCTCCACACCCTCTCCAGCATTTGTTGTTTGTAGATTTTCTAATAATGCCCATTCTGACTGGTGTGAGGTGATACCTCACTGCAGTTTTGATTTGCATTTCTCTAATGATTAGTGATGTTGAGCATCCTTTCATGTGTTTGCTGGCAATCTGTATATCTTCTTTGGAGAAATGTCTATTTAGGTCTTCTGCCCATTTTTGGATTGGGTTGTTTGGTTTTTTGATATTGAGCTGCATGAGCTACTTATAAATTTTGGAGATAAATCCTTTGTCAGTTGCTTTGTTTGCAAATATTTTCTCCCATTCTGATCTGAGGGTTGTCTTTCCATCTTGTTTATGGTTTTAAGGAAGTATTCTTACCCCTGCTTCACAGATCAGGAAACTGAGGTATCAAGAGATGCAGTGACGTGCTCAAAGCGGCACAGCAGGGAAGTGGTGAGCCTGTATTTGAACGTGGTCTGTCTGCTACCGTAACACCGGTTCTTGGAAGCAGGGAGGGGAGGAATAGGTGGACTTCACCTGAAACCATGGATGATCTGCTTTGCCTTGGCCAGGGCCGCTTGGCTAGCTGCCTTCCCTTCTACACTCTTATCAGCTCCAGAGACCCCACAATTCAGGTGGGTCCCTGAGAACTCAAGCTCCCACCAGAGAGCTCCCAGTTTCCTTAAAAGTCTCCCAGGACAATCCAGAGAGTAACTACAGGAGAGTCAACGGATTGTGCCCCGCGGTGAATTTGGAGAAATTTGAGTGTCCCTGGAGCTATATTTCACTCATTCATCTATTCATTCATTTCACAGACACTCATTGAATGTTCACTGGACCTGGTATCATACCAGGGCCCTGAGGATGCTATACCGTGAATGGGACAGATGAGGGGCAGAGTGGGGTCCCAGGGATACTCTCACCTGAAGTCCAAGTGCACAAGCCACGGCAGAGTAGAGAAGCACCGGGTCAAACTGAACACAGCATCCAGGGACAAATCGTTCTCACTGAGGCTGGAGAATCAGAGGGATGATGCTGACAGAAGTCACTCAGGACTCAAAAACACCCTCTTTGTGGTCAGAGCACAGGGCAGGGGAGGGCTGTCCCTCCCTGTTCCAGACGATGGAACACACTGAACCCCGGATGGTCAGAGCACCTCTGCCAACTCCCCATTGCACAGATGGGGAAACTGAGGTCCAGAGGGCAGCAAGGTCTTGCCCAAGATTATGAGACATGTTGGTGACAGAGCTGAGATTGGAACTCCAATTTGCATAAAATTTGCCTGCAATGGCAGCGAGGCCTTCCCACCCCCCCTCCCCCCCCTCCGCCCCCTGCAGGCCCCAAACAGGAACAGAAGCAACCTCCTCTGGTCCCAGCTTCCCAACGAAAGGCGGCCTGAGCAGGCAGTGCCCACAGGCCACAGCACTGGTTACAGCGAAAACCATAGCCACTGCCTCCAGAGTTTATGTGTTAACTGACTGGAAACCAGGGGCTCAGAGAAGGTGATGGAATTTGTCCAGGGACACTGGGAACCTGGGGTCTGTGACCAGGTTGCTGCGGCCAGGAAGCCTCTCCGTCGGGCCCAGAAGAGCCAGGGAGGGGGGGGGGGGGGCATGTGAGCTAGGAGCACAGGGAGCTTTAAGGGCCTAGAAACTCTGGCTGGCTGCAGGCAAAGTCTGGGCGTTCACAGCCTCCTTCCAGGGCCTCCCTCCCGTAGTGCACATCTCCCCCATCTCTGCCAGGTGCTCAGGGCTCTCAAATCTCCCCAGGGAACCTTCCTGGGTATCTTCTCTAGTCCAAACCCTCCCTGCCTACCTGGCCAGGGCCCCCCAGTCAAACGGCCCCTCCCCTCCACCCCACCCTGCCCCAGGGCCAGCTGCCAGCTGTTATATTAATCAGGTAATACTTCCCAGCCCTGCCTGCCTGGGCCTCCCAGAGAGCCTGTGCAGAGACAGGGAGACAGGCTTGAGAAACGAAGGCTTAACTCAGCAGCTGGATCGCTGAGTCACAGAGACCAGTGTCTATTTTAGTGAGAAACACAGTAGTAACTACCCTGTCCTGGGCACTGGCCACGTGTCAGGGACTGGCCCCGGTGGCTGACATGCATTGTCTGATGTAACCTTTATGATAACCTCAGGAGGGAGTGAGATGGGACACAGAATATCCCCCCACCCCGTCATCTCCTTCCCCCCTTCCCACACACATGCTCTCATCCAGAGATCAAACCTCAGAGGCTTTGCCCAGAGGGCTACTCACTTCAAGGACTGCAGAGCGCCCAGCCCTGGAAGCAGCTGAGCCAGCAGGGCCACACCTTTGTCCCCGAGAGCGTTGCCTGATAAGCTGGGAGGGGCACGCGGACAGGACAGGACAGGTCAGCAGAGGGCGGGGGTGGAGACAGCAGGAGCTCGCCTCTCCACCCCAGTCACTCAGCTTCTCCTGAAACTGGGATATGGTCCTGGGCTGCCAGGCCGGATCTCAGCACATGGCACTGGATCAGCTGGGGTCTCCCAGCATGTGGACGTGGGATCTTAGTTCCCCAATCAGGGATTCAACCCGCGCCCCCTGCATGGGAAGCATGGAGTCTTAACCACTGGACCTCCAGGGAAGTCCCTCCCCTCGGGTTCTCATCCTCAGGTTTGTGACCCCTGAGGGGTTAGGCTTGGGCTTCAGAGAGTGTCAAATATGGGGGAACCTGTATTTTAGGGGGAAGAGTCACAACTTTCACCAGGTTCTCTAAGGGGTTCCTGATTGCAGCGGGGAAAGAATAGATGACCCTAAATCTTAAAACACAGAACAAAACACAACACACTAACACCTACCCACTAATGGGCCCCACCACCCCGCCTTCCAGCAACCACTCACTCGAGGTGACGGAGGCAGCAACTTCCTCCCAGTGCTTTGCAGAGGTGCTCTAGGTGCTGGGCTTGCAAGGCACAGTGTGTCAGCCTAGGGAGGGTAGGACCACAACCCTGCAGCGCCTGCCCAGCTCAACAGAGGCGAGCGGGGCTCCCCACCCCCAGATAACACAGGCAGAGAGGCTTGTGGAAAGGGGACTGGGATGCATCGGGCACCCGGACAGGCAAAGAGGGACCGACACACAGCACACGTGAGATGTCACATGGGCAGAGAAGAGCCAGAGAGAGTCAGAGACACAGAGAGAGGCAGACCAAGATGGAGAGACACCGAGATAAGAGAGGGAGGGAAGGAGACAGACGCAGAGAGAGACTGAGAGAAACTGAGTGCCAGAGAATAGACAGACAGGGAGGGGCATTCAGATGGACAGAATCAGAGAGGAGGCTGGAAGAGTTGTGATGGGAGCCCTGTGGAGGTTGAGCTGAGTCCCCAGGCCTAGGCCCCAGGATCAGGAACGAAGGGGCCGCGTGCTCCCCATTTTCTCCATCCAGAGCTCCCACAACCCCTCAGCTACTGGAGGTCGGGGGAGCTAAGGGGGGTGGGAACCGTGGGCAGGGAAGGTGACTGGGGGGTCTGCCGTGTGAGCCCCTTCTGGGGTGGGCTGGGCAGGGGAGATGGGAGGCAGGAAAACCAGGACATGACAGCAGGTTATGTCCTGCTTAGGTTGTGTCCTCCAGGGGGCACCTGGCACTGGGGACCCGGGACAGGCTCTGTGCCCAGGAAGTGGGGAGGCGGGAACCATGCTCGGGGCCCGCAGGCCATCACGGTACCTGATCCTTGGGGCGCACGGGAGCGGATCAGAAGGCATCTGGAACGTAAGGCTGCCAGGAAACGCAGCCCTGGAGGGACACACACCAAGGCCATGCTGAGCAGACACCTCATCCACTGCCTCAGACTCCAGCCTTAGACCCACTTCCCACCATTCAATCCCTATATGAGACCTGGGGACAGTCAGACCTTGGTTCCAATTGGGCTTCTCGGCTTCCTGGCTGTGTGACCTGGGACAAATCACTTAGCCTGCTACTGGGAGAACAGGTGAATTGTCTTAGTTTGCTGCTTGGTGCAAAGTAAGTGCTCAGTTAACCTTGGCTCTTAGGATCATTAATCTCATCACCAGCAGTGCCTTCAAAAATGTCAGCCTCAGCTGCAAGCAAGCCTTCTAAAGCTCAGACCCTACAGAAGAGATTGTAGGTGCACACTGAGGAGCAAAGAGCTGAGTCTCTGCTCAGGTGCTGGCCTGGGGCAATCCAGGAAGGCACCCTGGTGGAGGCAAACACCCTCTAAAGGGTCCTTGTGCCAAAGGCAGCCAGAAGTTCTGACCAGAATCAGAGCTACACGCCAGGCTATCCTCTGGGTTTAGGCTGAAGGGACTCCGTCTCCCACGTGTAGCTCTCTGGCTACCCCACCCCTGCCCCAGTCTGCTGTCTGCATCTGGCATCCCAGGGCTGTCTTCAGGTACCACTTGGGAAATGGGGAGGCAGTTTGTCCTTTGAGCCTCCCCTTAGGGCTTCATCCCCAGCCAAGCCTGCTGGCTTCTTGTGCCTCTGTGAATTTGTCAAGGTCCCCCCCGGCTGTTGAGTTACACCGTCCAGCGGTGGCGGTCAAGGAGGGGACGGTCCTGGACCTACCTTTTCTGGATCACCTCCTGCTCCTCCGGCTCTGGGGCAAACTTGAGGACCACAGTTTTGTGCAGCAGGCTGCAGACAGGAGGGGAGGGAGGAGGTAGCTGCTGGTGGGCCCAGCTGCTGCTACGTCTTATTTCTAGCCTGGCCTCCAGGGACCTCTAAGGTGCCCTCCCCCTGCCTCTAGCTGCGGCACTTCCTCCGACTTTGCCCTGATGTCTTCTCTCGCCTGAGGGTACTCACCCCTGTGCGGTGAGGCCACTGCCAGGTCGGGACAGGCACTGAGAGTCCAGAGCATCCCTAACCTCGCCTTTCCAAGTGAATGTTATATATATATTTCCCATGACAAAAGTTATTCTTCTTCCCTCTGGAGAACTTAGAAAATGTAGAAAAATAAGAAGAAAATAAAGAAAAATCACCCACAATCTCTTCCACATATCAATTATCACTGATGATAACATGTGGAGTGAGTCCTTCAAGTCTTCTGTCTTCTTAATGCAGTTAATATTCTTTCTTTTTCTTTCTTAAAAGATGGGATTAAATTTACAAACTCCCTTTTAAAAATTCCCTTTTAAATATTTCAAAGGACAGATGAAGCAAGGGTTACATGATGTTGATAATTATTGGTGGGAGCTGGGGAGTTCATTATACCATTCTCTCTAGCTTTCAGTTTGATTGAAAAGCTTTATTATAAAAATGAGGAATTTAAAAAAATGTTTCTTTAAGTTTTTGTTGTTTTTTTTTAGCCACACCGCGCGGCTTGTGGCATCTGACTGAACCTGGACCACGGCCGTGAAAGCACCGAGTCCTAACCACTGGACCACTAGGGAATTCCCTGATGAATTAAAATTTTTATGTTTACTTAATATGCCAGAGTCATCCCTCCACACTAAAGCTGCAGCTATATCATGGTTCCATCAGTTCTTCTCTCTGGAGGCAACTTAGTTTACTTAACTAGTATCACTAATATCTTGCTGTTAAAGATTTAAGTTATTTTCATTTTTTTCCTGTTATAATCAATACTGAGGTGAACATCCCTGCAGGTCAAAGTGTTTGCACAGTCACGGTAATTTCTTCATTATAAATTCCTAGAAGTGAATGGAGTGTCATTTGGAATGCCCTAGGGGCCTTTACTGATTCATTATACACAGTGAACCAAGGGCCCTAGTACCACCGTGTGGGTGAATCTGGTCTCTCTTTCCTCCTTTAAGGGGTGTTTAAAGCAGGAGAGCCCCTATGGGTGGGGACTGTGTTGACATTAATTAGCATCTGTCCTCAGCTGCCCAGACTGAATGTGGAGACTCACAGAAATAAGGTTGGGCCCTGTCTGAGGTCGGGTTCCCTTAGAAACAGAGTCACTTGGTCACTGTGTACATGATGTACTGAGGGTCTGATCTCAGGGACCGAGGGAAGAAGGACAGGGCAGGTCCTCAGCCTGATCCCACAGGAAGCATGAATGCAACACAGAAGAGCCAAACCTGACTACCTGTTGGATCTGTTTCTTTTACTTTAACCTTTGCTTCCCGTTGCTTTTGTTCACTAAAAGGATACTGTCTGTACATAATGGCCTGCCTTGGAGAACCCTGCCCCTCTGCCTGAATGTTAAACCAAAGTGCCTTTGTTCAGGGAAGCATCCTGACCCCGCCCACCTGTGGCTGGCTGCAAGAAAGAAGAAATTAACACATCCCCTCCCCAAGGCTGGCCATTCCAGGGTACATTTGCAAAACTTATGGCCCTTTTACTTCCTCATCTCCTCCCCCTCTCTGTGCTATAAAAGAAACTGGCATCCAAACCCCAATGAGATGGTTTCTCGGAGACACTAGTCTGCCATCTTCTCCGTCTGCCTCAACATCTCGTCTCTGATTCATTGGCCTGTCGAGCGGCGACCAGAGTGAGCTTGGACTTGGTAACGTCAATAGCATTAAAAGTTTGTCTCACCGGAGGTAAGGGGGCCGGAGGGTTATACCTCTGCCTCTGTCACTGGCCACTCCTGGCTGGGAGGATAAGGGGGTGTGTAACCTCCCAGGCATCACTGGCTCTTAGCGGCCCAGGGCATTTCTCTGGAGGAGGTATAAGCTGTGTGCAACCAACACCCACAGCAGCTGGGAACGGGCACCCAGCTGTAAAGGGGGTCTGGGCGGGGCACCAGCATCTTCCACAGGTCTCAAAGGCCTGGGGCCAGAAAGAATTCCAAGGACTTAGAGAGAACGACAGGAGAGCCCAAGAGCTCCACGCTAGAGGTGAGAGTGGGTGATGGTGGTGCACGGGGAGTCCCTACCTGACATGTAGCTCTGCCAGGGTCCGGCACATGCTCACTGCACTCAGCACACGGCACGCCCCGGCCAGAGAAAGCCCATTGCTGCTGAGGCTGCGGAGAGGAGGAGGAAGACGGCCATTAGCAGGCGGCTGGAGTCCCCAGCGCCACACAGCTCCAGCCGCCTCCTCCTGGCTCAGCAGCTGGCTGGCTGTCACTCGTGGAATGTCCTGGGTCTTTAACCAGGGCGTCTTAAAGGGTGAGCCATGAAGCATATGACCTCTTGCCCCACACAGAGAATAAGGTCCTCCAGCTGGAGCAGTAAGAGCTGACTCACTGTTTTTGCTTCTCTGATCCTCAGTTTTCTGGTCTGAAAAAAACTCACCATTTTAATCCCATTTTACCAATGGGGAACCTGAGGCCAAGAGATAGGAAGTTACCTTCCCAGGGTCACAAAGCTACTGAGTGACAGAGCCAGGGTCTAAATGCAAAGCCAAGACTCCAAACCACTGATACCCTAACCTCAACACTCCCCCACTCCCACTCCCACTTGACGCTAAGACCCCAACATATCCCCCCCACCCAATAGCACCCCTAGCCCACACCGTGCAACACCACAGCACACCCAATAGCCTACTACCCTTTCTTCTCGTTCCACCACCACAACGACCCACCCTTCACCCCAAAACCATATCCCACCGTACCACTTCCCACTCCAACAGCCCAGCACCCATCCACCCAATACCCTAGCGCTGCCCCAGTGCAACTCCGCGTCCCACCCCACCCCGGGGCCGTTGTCAGGACAAACTGGAATACAAGCTACTGATGTACGGTGAACACGTTCTACATGTTCAAGGGATTTTAATAACTGGAACAAAGTAGCTCATGCCAGAGGCATGCAAGGCATGGTTGAACCACTCCGCCTGCGCTGGAGCTGGGAGAGAAAGCAGAGCTGGCCGGTGAAGCAGCACTGTCTCTGGTGACTGTGGGCACGGGGACCAGGGGTGGCGGGGACCAGCTGGGGCTCTCCTGGGCCCCCGCGGTAGTCGACAGTGGGGCGGGTGACTCACTCCAGCTTCCTGGCGATGTGCAGCTGGGGTGCAGCCTCCGCCATCAGTTGACAGCCTTCATCTTCCAGTTGGTTCCCTGAGAGGCTGAGACAGAGGGGCCTGATGTCCTGTGCTGCCCCTCAACCCTCAGCGTTCACACAGTCAAAGCATCCCTCCAACAAATGAGACTCAATTATAATGAACGTTGAAAGATTGCGTACCACGTGCCTGGCACTGTCCTAGATGCTCTTACAATTATTGGATATTTAATCCTCATAACAGCCCTACGAAGTAGGCACTATTATTTTCCTCATTTTACTGATGAGTTAACAACGGTTAAAACACTTGCTCAAAGTTGGGCCTGGGATTTGAACTCCGGCAGCCTGACTTCAAGGCCCCATCCTCAACTGTTTCTTTATGCTGCAACCTACATAATTACTTCTTGTGGTGAGCTCCACGCTTATCGGGAAATCTGATCTAGTCTGGGGACCAGGAAAGGCTTGCCTGATGTTTGAGCTACTTGCTAGAAAAACTAGGAGTTCAATAGGTAAGGGGTGGGAGAGAGATGGGGGAAGGGTGTTCCTGGCAGTAGGAACAGCACAGTCAAAGATCCCATGACATAGCACATTAGAGGACTTGAAAAAGAGCAGATATGTCTGCATTAAAGATGGAGTGGGAGGGTGGGGTCAGATGGGGCTTGTGGGGTTGGGGGCACGGTTCTGGATCACACAGCATTTTAGGATTTGGGCTTATCCTGAGCACTGGGAAGGGGGCAGGCAGTAAAAGGCAGTTCACTGCCAGGTGGAGGTGGCCAGGATGGAAGCCTAGTGAGGAGGTATCCAAGTGAGATGAGAAGGGCCTGGACTAGGGAGGTGGATGAAGAGGATGGAGAAAAAAGAACTTTTTTTTTTTTTTGCAGCGCTGCACGGCATGCAGGATCTTAGTCCCAGACCATGCGGGGTCTTAGTTCCCTGACCAGGGATCGAACCCGTGCCCCTTCCAGTGGAAGCACAGAGTCTTAACCACTGGACTGCCAGGGAAGTCCCCAAGAGAACGGTTTTGAGAACTCTATAGGGGGTAGGTCGACTCAGGATGGACTGGCTATAGGAGGAGGGCAAGGGAGCTGAGAGGTGTCTGGTCTGTGTAACCAGGTGGGTGATGGGGCACACCTGCAGGTGAGAAAACTGGGGGAGGGACAGGCTTGGTGGTGGCGAGGTGGGTGGAAGTATGTGAGTTGGGTAAAAACCACCTTCTAATCCTGTCTTGGTTCTCCCAATGGGACAAGGTCAAGGCTCAAGCTTTGGTCACCAAGGCAGCCCTCACCCCGTCCATCTTGCCCTAGGGTGGGGCCACTCAAAATACATGATGGCATTTCATCACCCCACCTTCATGCCCATTTGATTTCCTCGGATGACCGTGGCAGGGGTCCCTTCCCGGTGACATGACAGGACCTCCACCAATCCCCAAACCCCACTCTCAAAGGCTCTGCTCAGGAGCTGGACATCATGGGAATTTCTCCAGCCCAAAAAGAGAAGGTCATCTCATGCTACTCTGGGAGGAAGACAGCGTGAGGGGACCCTGAGGGCTGTGGTCTGGAAGACAAGACTACACGTGATGAGGTTTCTGCTTCGCAGATCTCAGTGAGGATGAGGCCAGGAGCCAGACTGTCTGAGCCTGAATCCTGCCCTAGACTCTTCCTAGACTTGTGACCTTGAGCAAATTTACCTTTACCATGGCTTAATTTCCTCCACTATAAAATGCACATAGTAACAGTACTTACATCATAGAGATATAAGGATTAAATGAGAGGATGTATGTAAAAGCACCTGGGACAGGACGGGTGCTAAATAATGGTAGCTGTTAGGATGATCTGATTCCCCCAAATTCTTAATGAAGCAGCATGCCCTTCCCCACACCGTCCACCCAAAGCTGAGGCCTTGCCTACGCTGCCCTGCCCTCCCTTTCTGTCTCCTGTCCCAGCGCTCCCCATCATACTCACTCCACTTCATCCAGGTGTGGACCTTCCCGGAGCTGGGCTATGAGCACTTCCACATCATGGACCCCGAGCTGACACTTCTGGAGCCTGCGGCGGGCGTAGGGCCGAGAGGCTCAAGGTAAGAAGCTATGCTATGCCTCCTGTGGCTCTGAGTGCGGCTACCAGGAAGGAGCTGCAGCAGCCAGGAGGCCGGCAGACCTGGGTCTAATCTTGGCCTTGTTTTTCAGTAGCTGGGTCACCTGGGATAAGGCACCTAACCTATCTGAGACTCAGTTTTCTCCTCTATCAAATGGGACTAATAATGTGTACTTTGCAGGGTTTTCAAAAGAATCACAATGAGGTAATGGATATAAAATACTACAGTGCCAAGCACAAAGCAAGGGCCCATTAAATTACAGCTATTATTGTTGTTATGACAAGTGTCCCTTGCTCAGGCCGGGATGGGTTACTCATGTCCTTTCCCCGCTCCACATCTGCTTCTCCCTTTATCCTCCCTGCCCCTGCCGTGCCTCCTCTGGGAAGGGACCCTCCCCCCATATCATATCCCTCCCCTCAAAGCAATGGATCCCATCCCACTGAGGTACCTGAGTGCCAGGCTTCTCCTCTGAGCCTCTTTCCTCTGGTTGGCATTGCCCCGTAGGTCTGGGTCTCTGGCAAGAACAAATCCAACACTGGCCTGGGCTCAGGAGTCCAGGGCCTGATGGACCAAACCTCTTCCCTTGGTTTCTAGGAACTGAACACCCTATAGCATGACCCACAGTGAATGAATAACAAAGATGGTTGCCTGAAGGTACTAAAGGTGCTACTCAGCAAAGCAGCAGGGCAAAAGGTTTAAGGTCAATTGGGACCTTTATTCAAATTCTGGCTCTGCCATATATAGCTGTATGGCCTTGGGTAAGTCACTTCACCCATCTGAGCCCCAGTTTTCTCTTTTCTAAAGTGGGATGACAACATCCAACACATAGTGATCGAAGGACTGAATGAGACGATGTATGGTCAAGTGCCCAGCATAGGCAAGCTTAGCAAAGTGCAGGCTTAGTGAAAAGAAGCTGCTATTGTCTAAGATGCCATGGTCTCCATTTGTAGATGTACCATCTGTGATTCAGAAGGCCAGGAGCATGGACTGCATGTGGGTGCAGGCTGTGGGAAGCCAAGGCACCACCAAGTGTTCTCTCCAACTGGGCCAGGGGAGGACCGGGGTCTGCAGGGATACTGGAACATCATGGATTTTCATAGACTTCTAGATCAGTGCTGTCCAAAAGAACTCTCTGCAAGGACGGAAATGTTTTGTATTTGTTCCATCCACTATGGGAGCCACTAGCCACCTGTGGCCATTGAGCACTTGAAATGTGGCTAAAGTGGCTGATGAACTGAAATGATCATTTTATTCAATTTTAATTAATATAAAATTAAATAGCCACATGGGCTAGTAGCTACCGTATTGGGCATCATAGGGCTCTGCAGTCAGAGGGTAAAAAGACATTGGTCCTCCCAGATCCCTGTACGGGTGAGGAAACTGAGGCTCAGAGCAGGGAAAGGACTTGCATGAGGACATACAACTTCATGTGTTTCTGCGTCTCACAGGGAGGGGTGTGAGGGAAACACAGAAAGTTCTTTAATGGGAAGGCGACTTCCCTATTTCTGCCCAGTAAGGACTGGCCAAGCTGGAATCCATGCACAGCTGGAACAGCTAGCACTTGAATGGCAACTGGATGCCAGCAGTGCTCTAGGCATTTTAAGTGTGTTAATTCATTTAATTCTCAGAACAAGTCTAAGATGTCGGTACCATAATTGCCTTCCTCCTTTTTTAATTGGAAGAGTTTTCCCTGCGTAGTATCGCCAGTCTCACCACATCTTCATGTCCTCCCTAAGGGTCTGATTCACTCTGAGACTTCTGGTGATGCCCGCTCATCACAGGAGCTGGATGTGGTCCAGAGACACTAGAGGAAGCTAAGTCCTTGGCCAACTCTGAGAAGTAAGTCATTTCCCAGGGGAGCAGTAGCAAGAAAAATCCCCACATTCCACCTCTTCCTAAACTCTTTTTGCCACTTTTCCCCACAACTACCTAAGCCCAGATTGCTTCTCAGAATGAGCCCAAACCCACCCCATCCCTAGCTTCTTACCCTTGTAGCTCTGTAGCCGTCTCTGTGGGTGGGGAGAGAAGGAAGATGAGGTCCGCCTTCCTGCAGGGTCAGACACTGAGCCGTGAAACCAGTACACCAGCCCTACCTGTGCACCTGTGCTGCCCCAAACATCCAGAGAAAGCTGATTTTGTAATCGACACAGAAACAGAACTGGCAAAAGTGCTCAATATCAGACATGTAAAATTGTGACTATGTCGTTGCTAGACGAATCCTGAGTGTTTTAAAAAGTCAGGAAAACAATTTTTGCTAGAAAAATTATAAAAGTTAGGAATGCTGAGAGTTTCTATAGGAGCCACAGTGTTGGGATTAAGAGGCATTACACTTCATCTACCCCGCGACCCCAACTGGCTAGTTCAGCACCACGGAGAGCGACACGGGACTCAGGATTCCCTCCACTCTGCCTATTGTTCCTAGATTTGTTGATTCATTCCCTCAACCACCCATCCATCCGTCTATCCATTTATCTTTCCACTCATTCACTATTTATTGAGTACGAGGTGCCAGGCCTGAGCTGGGCTCTGGAGATACTGATTGAGTAAAACAGACTCATGAACGCACACGTAGGTCTTGCAGACCGGTGGCCTCCTCCTTTTCCCATCCCCACTTTCTCCTCCCCTTTTCTCAAGACCCTGAAGGCCAGGATCCCATTCCCCCTGCTCACCTGACCTGTAGCATCCTGACGGTGGGGCACGTGACCGCCACATTCGTCAAGGAGAGGAGTGTTGACACGGAGACATTGCTGAGGCTCAGGCTGCATGATTGTGGCAAAGGTGTCAGGAGTGAATCCCCCATCCCATCCACCCCAGACTCTTTCTGCTCTCCAAGGGAGGAGGGGGAGGTCACTCAGGCAGGGATGGTGGAAAGACAGCTTACTCAAGCTTCCGGAGCCGCGGCAGGCAAGGCAGTACCTCCACGATGCTCAGCACCTCCCAGTCCTTGAGCTGGTTGTCCCGAAAACTGTAGGGAGACCGAGGCCCAGTCCCTCAGCCCTGGGGTTGAGAGACTTGGGAGCCCCAGGTGGCAGGCGACAAGCGTGGCCATCTTCATGCAGGAGACACAAGATAGGGGCCTACGAGAAGTTCGTGGTATCCAGCAGGCCCAGCTAGGAGGAAGGGCCCTCTGCTGGCTTCACTTCCATCCCAGTTCAGTCCCTCTGGGAGAGTTTCTGCCTGGTGGCCCAAGGGATCCAGATGATGGACTGTGAAGGCCTCATGAGGTGGGATGAGGGGACCCAGCGCCCTGCTCTCTAGGCTCTGTCTGGGATGTGCCTGAGGCCTGAGTTCAGCCGGGCCTCTTGGTTCCCAGGTGATAGGCAGACTAGGATGCAGGAGAAGCTGCTTGCAGCCTCTCCTCTGGCCCTGATTCACCCAAAGCCCTAGGCCAAGCACTTTCATTTCTGACCTCACATTCCCCACCTGTCAAACGGGGTCCACAAACAGCCCTGCCTGGGTTCCTAGCTAGAGGGACAAAACAGCTGAAGAGTATAAGGGTGCCTCTGTGTGTAATCACTTGGTCAGGACAAAGGATCAGAAATCGTGAACTTGTTGACATTTACTTTTCTTTCTTAATTATTGAGAGTGACCTTAATCTTTTCCCCCATCACCCAGAGTGATCATGAACAAAGACACCCAGCAGAGGGGACAGAGCAGAGCTCTGGCCCAGCTAATGCTCCACTCGACAAGCAGTGCACCCTACTGCTGGGCTGCATCTGCCTGGATGAAGGAGTGTCTTTTCTAAATCTCATAAAGGTGCCATATTAGGCAGCAGTGGTCCTGCCAGACAGCTGCTAAGGAGGACCCCTGGTCCCACCCTTCTCAGGCCATTCATCACAGACATAGGGCAGGAGTATATTCATACATACGTGCTTAGCTGTGTATGTGGATCTAAGTGTGCAGGCATGTGTGTGCTCCACATGTGCATGTATGTGTGGCATATACTTAAGTGAGCAGGCAAGTGCAAGTGTGTGCGCACATACGTGCATGAATGTGGACGTATGTGTGTGTTTCATGCCTTTATGTGTACCCACACAGCACCTGCCTTCTCTCAGGGTCACAGAAAGAAGGGAGGGACCCTCAAAACTCAAGCTCCTTCAAGATGTCCCAAAATATTAGCACTTCTCTGGGGTCTCTGGGAGCCTTGTGTTTGGATCCAGTCCCACCCAGTTCTTGGATTGATGCCTCTCCTCTCTGGGTCTCACTGAAAAAGTAGTGGCCAGACCCTAATGGAATATACAGGACCCAGTCCAGGCTCAAGGGGGGCCCTGGGACCTGGACAGTGATTCCTCCCCTCAGCCAGCGAGCCCTCCTGGAGATCACTCACCTGATCTCTTCCAGCTGTGGACAGAGGGGCAAAGCCTGCACCAGGTGGCTGATGCCTTGAGCAGTGATCTTACTTCCTGCTAACCTACAGGGTAAGCAAAGATAGTGGGAAGAATGGGGATGGGAAAGGGGACAGACCAGGAATCTGCCCTGTGCAGGGTTGAGGGGCGGGAGGAGAGTTCCAAGCATTGCTGGCTGAGGATCCATCTCGGTCCCAAGCCCTGACTCACCCCAGCTTCTTCAGGCTCCCCATTGTCGGCAAGCACCTGGAGAGGGCTTTGGCAAAGGCGTCCCCACACTTCCTGCTCTTAAAGCTGCCACGGGAAGAGGCGAAGTGGCAGAAGATCAGTGGTGGGCAGGGCTTAGAGTTCATCACCCATTCCCTCCTCTGAGAGATGGAATTTAATCCAGTAATGGCAATAGTACTAGTTGTTGCTGTAATTGTTGTAGTAGTAACAAGTACATATTATGGCAGACACTGCTAATCGTCTACCAAAACCCATTCTCCGCTGTAGCTATCACTGGGAACATGGTTTCCCGGCCAGAGGTGGTGTTTCCCAGCCTCCCCTGCAGCTCAGTGTGACCATACGACTCCGACTATGTTGTCACCACTGGAATGTGAATGGAAAGGATGTGCTCTATTTCCGGGACTGAGCTTTAACCCATTGGGCATGTCTAATCCGTGTTCTCTCTTTACTTTCCCCCAAGCCAGAGCACAGATGTGTCTGCGACCCAGCTCTGACCATGCAGAGCAAGATGCCCAAGGAGATGATGCTGCAACCATGGAAGGGGCCTGGGTCTCTTCATGGCCATGTGGAGCTGAGCCATCCCACTGACCTGGACAACTTACCTCTGAGTCTTCCATAAGAGTGAAAACAAAAACAAAAACCACCACATTATTTAATCCACTGTATATGGAGGGGGAGGGATTCTTTGTTATTGCAGCCTAAACTTTTCTCTAGCTACTACACATATCAAGCCTTTACTCTGTGCCAGGAACTGTGCCACGAAGTGTTTTTCATGCATTATTTCATCTCATTCTCCCAACACCCTATCAAGTAGGTATTATTACTGATTCATTTTAGGGATAAAGAGACTCAGGCTGAGAGGTTAAATACCCTGTCCAAAGCAAAGAGGCTCTAATAGCACAGCCTGGGTCAGATGCTCCAGCCCATGACTGAGAGAAAAAGAGGGAAAGACTGAATCCAGAAACCATAACTAGAGGAGATCTAACTGGACCCCAGAGTTCCTGGAGAGGCAAGGAGCTTCCTCACCGTGTCACAGGCTAAGGGGCAGTAAGGAAGGACCTATCTGTTCTGATATTCAAGATTCTTCCTCAGTTTTCCTCAGCTGGGTTCTGCCAAGACTGGCTGGCCTCCGCTCTCCCAAAAGTCCAGTTCTCTCCCAGGGATGTTCCCAGGTTCCCCCCAGAGCTCCCCTGTCCTTACTCTCACCTGAGATTCTCTACCTGCCCACAGCCTGCCAGGGCTTCAGGGCAGCGGGGCTCCAGGGGGCAGCCCTCAAAATCCAGGTGGATGGGGGCATCCCTGTGCCCTAGGATGTTGGTCAGGGCAGCCAGGTCGGTGTAGGTCAGCAGGAAGTTGTGGAAGGGCATTTGATGGGGGAGGCTCTGGGCTGTGAAGCCAGCCAGCTCAGGCACCTGTGTCTCACCCACACAGTGACACAGCTCTACAACCTTTGGTCCCGTGAGCCTGCGGGTGGCCAACTTCCTCAGTGCTTGCACGACTGCTGCCTGCTTGGTACCCACCCAGGCCTCGTCCTGCTGTGCCAGGAGGCTGAGGAAGGGGCGGCAGGCACAGGATGCCAGGCCCGCCAGAAAGGTGGGGAGGTGGTCTATGAGGCCCAGTCTAGCTTTGCTTCGCTGCACCCAGCGAGAAGTGAGGGTGACATGTTGGGAGAGTGTATCTTTGTCCACCTGGGGGCTGGCCATCAGGTGCAGGGCAGCAAAAAACTCCTGCAGGCTTAGGTGGGTGAAGGCATAGCCTGTCTCCTGGTGCCCGGGCCCCATGCACACACAGGAGGTCATCAGGCCGAGGGCAGCCCCGAAGGCCATCACGGGTGGAGGGATGTCACCTGCAGAGAAGATGATCTTCCCTGTCTCCAGGCCCCGCAGGGCCACTTCCCCGAGACCCAGCAGGGACTCGGCAGGCAGGAACCCTTGGGGACTGAGGGTTAGCACCATCTGCACGTAGTTCTGGGTCATGGTGGGCAGGAGGGCTGCAGACTGGCCTGGAGAGCTGCCCGGGAGCAGATGGTAGAGGCAGAGGCAGGCGACTCGGCACAGAGCGGGCAGGGCACACATGCTCCAGAGACGTCTGTCTGCCCGCAGCTCTGCTAGGGCTGCCTCCTGGGATGGCTGGTCGCTGAAGAAGCGGCTCACGTACTCCTCCACCCGTGGTCCGTCAAAGCCCCACATGTGGACCGTGGCCACCTCGGTGGGCAGGCAGGCAGGCAGCTTCCCTGGACGGGAGGTGGCCATTACCCAGCAGCCCGGCAGGAGGGTCCCACGGCAGAGGCGGGAGAAGAGGGTGAGGGCTGATGCTGGGTCCTCAGGGCCTGCAGTCTCCTTGCTGGGGCAGGGGTGGAAGACCTCGTCCAGTCCATCAAAGATCAGCAGGGTTCCATTAGCATTCTCCTGCAGGTACTCGAAGACGGCCTCGGGGCCAGCCTCAGGCCTCAGGTACAGATCAAAAAGGAGCTGGGGTAGCGTCAAGAAACCTGTGATCACATTGAGCTGGCGGAATTCGAAAAGGAACAGGGCCTGGAAGCGGTCCAGCTGACCATCAGCCCACTTCTGGCAGAGCCGGTGGGCCAGCGTGGTCTTGCCCATGCCCGCCTTCCCCAGAAGCACCATCACTCTTGGGCCCCTGTTGGCCTTGGTATTGAAGAGGTCCCGAATGTTCACGTCGGTGCCATCTTCTGCCTTGGGGTCCCCTGTAACGGCCCCCTCCTGAGCGTCGAAGGGTGCTGAGGCCCGGCTCCATTGCAAGATTGGAGGGATGTAGACTTGGGGGAAGGCAAGCGGCTGCCCTGGCCTCGGGGTCCTGTCGGCATAGCGCTGCCGGGCAGAAGTCCTAAGCAGTTGCAGGTACCTCTTGGCCAGCTCTGCAGGGGACAGGGAGATTGCGTGAGAGCCGGGGACCTCCCCACGCCGCTCACCACAGTATCAGGTTGTTGGGAGCCGGTAGCCTTGGTCATGTACATATGGGGATGGGGGACGGCAAGAGCACACAGGTGCTCTTATGCCCCCCAAATTCCTAGAATTAATTGGCTCTACAGAAGCACAGGCTCTGACAGCCATTTACACAGGGAAGTAGGAATGGGGAAGTGTGGACCACGGCTCTATTTGTTTTGCAACAATGTAAGTGGTGTAAAGTTTTCAGTGAGATGGGGGAGGGGAAAGGGGGCAATATCTTATTGGAACAAGCTTTCACTGTGATATCGAAGTAACCTGCCTGCGGCCCCCATCCCCACAGTGTTTCAGCTGTGTGATGCCCACGATGACCACTAGCACCCTGTGAGCCCAGGCACTGGACAATCGGAACCGCGGAAGCTGGTCAATAGTCAATACCTACATTGCCGGGTGTTGACTTTAATTGCTGGGTCATTTGGGAGATCTTGCGTGGCCCAGGGGAGGGCCCGGGGCCACTGTTGGGGGACACTGGATACCCCTGCTGGGGGGGCGCCTGACATAGTGTCCTATTTTATACAGATATGAATCCTCTGACCAGCTGTGAATCCTCTGGCTATGCCCCATGGGGCTGGGTTTCCCAGCTGGTGGGACAACTGGTGGAGAATGACAGAAGTTTCTGTCCCGGCCTGACCGGTCCACAGCAGCCCCCATGTCTTCCCAGGGGCCCCCAAGGCTTTTGCCTTGAGATCCAGCTCAGCCCTAAACTGGCCAATGGGAGCCCAGTTCTGAGGTCATGCTGTTTACATCCCTGGAGCTCCCTCAACCCTGAGGACATGGGAGTATCCCCGGAAAAGCCTGGATGGTGAAGCTGCGACCTGCTGGGATGCTTTGAGCTCCTTCAGCTGAGCCGTCTCTGGAGAAGCCCCGCTGTGGCCCACCGGGCAAGGTGCTTCCTTGCCAGACCTAGCTCTCTCCTCTGCCCACCCAGGACCTCCTCTTCTTCCCTCCTGGGAGCTTGGAAGACAAGAGTCAGGGGGCCCATGACTGGAAGCCTGTTATCAGGGGACAGAGTCCAGGATCTGTGTCCTTGCCCCAAGGCAATCCAATCCAGTGTTCGGGTCCCCCCCACACCTTGGTACCCACCTTGCTCCTGCTTCTTGAACTGCTTTGGGCGAGGTGAGGACCCACAGCTCTGATGAGGCCGCTTGAGGCCTGGAAAGAATGAAGGAAGGAGTAAAGGGTGAGGTCTGGGGGCCTGGGCTGAGGGGGTAGCCAGCACCTTCAGGGAGCTTCATTCCACAGACGGGCAGCAGCCAGACAAGTATATCCACGCGCAGGGACTGAGTGAAGGCAGACGGCAGGCAAAGGCTGCACCAGCATCAGTTCCTGTTTGCAGAGGGGTCCCAGGCCCAAGTGAGAGGGCTGGAGGCTCTGGGCCTGGGCATCTCCCAGCCCAGAATGCAGGAAGCAGGGCCCACAGGCAACAGCCTCAAGCACTAAATGGCTTGGAAATCACCCAGCTCTGGGCACTGCTGGTTGGAAAAGTGGAGCTTCCACGAGGCTTCGTCAGGCCTGTGCCCTCCCTCCTGTACCAGTGTGTTTTATCCCCTTTATTTCACATCTTCCAAATTTCCTCACTTCTCTTACTAGTTTCATGAGCTCTTGTCTGTTTGCATGGATTTTCAAGAGTTGCTTTAATACCTTTCAGAAGAGGTTGGGAAAGGAAGAAGGAGAACAAGAAGGAAGGGGAGACAGAAAGGAGGGGAGGAAGAAAGAAAGAGGGCTATGGAAGAATTTTAAGAAGTAAAGCAGGACACTCCTACAGCCAGGCACTGGTGATCAATCAGAACAGCCGCTGGAGCAGGTCTCTTGCCCCGCCAGGTGTTAAACTTTTAGATGCTGGTCTGCAGGGAAACCCAGGGGTCCCGAAGAGGGGCTGGAATCAGTGTAAGATATATTTGGGGGCACTGAGCAGCTTGCAGGATCTTAGTTCCCCGACCAGGGATTGGACCTGGGCCCTCGGCAGTGACAGCACTGAGTCCTAACCACTGGAACACCAAGGAATTCCCTTGTATTTCAATATTTTAACGAGTCTTTTACTAATAACGGACTCACTAGCTAAATATCAACCAGGCCTGGTCACAGCCAGGTGACAAGTATTCCAGCTCAGTGATAAGGGACAGAGGGACAAGGTATCAAACAGTTTTGATTTATTGGGGAGCTAGGATTATGGGATGGATGTTTTCTGTTATAGCCATGCACAGATATAAGTAAAAAGTCAATATTTCTATAGAAATAAAGGTTCTGAAACCACAGCAAACATCATACTTAATGGTCAAAGATGGAAAGCTTTTCCTCTAAGATCAGGAACAAGGGAAGGATGCCTGCATTCACCACTTCAACTCAACACAGAACTGGCAGCTCTAGCCAGAGCAATTATGCCAGAAAAAGAAATAAAAGGCATCCAAATTGGAAAAAAAGAAGTCAACTTATCTCTGTTTGCAGACGATCAGATCTTATATGCAGAAAACCCCAAAGACAGCCACAAAAAAGCTGTTAGAACTAATAAATGAATTCAGCAAAGTAGCAGGGTATAAAGTCAACACACAAAAGTCAGTTACCCCCAATAAAGATGTTAAAAAAAAAGTCAGTTACATTTCTGTACATGAACAATGAACAATCTGAAAAGAAAATGACCAAACTAATTCCATCTACAGTAGTATCAAAAAGAACAAAATACTTAGGAATTAACTTAACCAAGGACGTGAAAGATTTGTACAATGAAAACTACAGAATGTTGCTGAAAGAAATTAAAGAAGACATAAATAAATGAAACACATGTTCATGAATTGGAAGACTTAATAATGTTGAAAATTTCAATATTACCCAAAGGGATCTACAGATTCAATGCAATCTCTATTACAATCCCAATGCCTTTTTTTGCAGAAATAGAGCCCATTCTAAAATTCATGTGGAATCTCAAGGGACTCCAAATGGTCAAAACAATCCCGAAAAGGAACAAAACTGGAGGATTCACACTTCCTGATTTCAAAACTTACTACAAAGCTACAATAATCAAAAACAGTGTGGTATCGGCATAAAGACAGACATAAAGACCAATGGAATAGAATAGACAGCCCAGAAATAAACCCTCACATATATGGTCAAGTGATTTTTGACAAGGGTGCCAAGACCATTCAGTGGGGGAAAGGACAGTCTTTTAAACAAATGGTGCTGGGAAAACTGGATATCCACATGCAAAGGAATAAAGTTGGACTCTTACCTAACACCAAATACAAAACCTAACTCCCAGTGGATCAAGGGCCTAAATGTAAGACCTAAAACAATAAAACTCTTAGAAGCAAACATAAGATGAAAGTACGACACCGGGACTGGCAATGATTTCTTGGAGATGACACCAACGGCACAGACATCAAAAGAATAAATAGAAAAATTGGACTTCATAAAAAATTTTTAAATCATACATCACAAGGCCCTACCCACAGAGTAAAAAGGCAACCCACAGAATAGGAGAAAATATTTGCAAAACATATATCTGATAAGGGATTAATATCCATAATATAGACAGAACTCCTAAAACTCCACAACAAAAAACCAAAGAAGCCAATTCAAAATGGGCAAAGGACTTGAACAGACATTTCTCCAAAAAAGATATATGAACGGCCAATAAGCATATGAAAAGGCGCTCAACATCACTAATCATTGGGACTTCCGTGGTGGGCCAGTGGGCAAGACTCCGTACTCCCAATGCAGGGGGCCTGGGTTCAATCCCTGGTCGGGGAACTATGTCCCGCATGCCACAACTAAGAGTCCGCACATCACAACTAAAGACCCTGCACGCTGCAACTAAAGATCCCGCATACCACAACTAAGACCCAGTGCAACATAAATAAATAAATAAATAAATAAATAAAATTTAAAAAATCACTAATAATTAGGGAAATGCTAATCAAAACTACAATGAGATACCACCTCACACCCATTAGGATGGCAACTATCAAAAAAACAGAAAACAAAAAGTGCTGGTGAGGATGTGGAGAAACTGGAACCCTTGTGCACTGTTGGTAGGAATGTAAAATGGTGAAGCTTCTGTGGAAAACACTGTGGAGGTGTCTCAAAAAATTAAAAACAGAGTTGATATATGACCCTGGATCCTGGATATATATTCAAAAGAATTGAAGCAGGGTCTTGAAGAGATATTTGTTTACCCATATTCATAGCAGCATTATTCACAATAGCTAAAATATGGAAACAACCCAAGAGTCCACCGAAGGATGAATGGATAAGCAAAATGTGATTTACACATACAGTGGAATATTAGCCTTAAAAAGGAAGGAAATTCTGACTCTTGCTACAACATGGATGAACCTTGAGGACATTATGCTAAGCGAAATAAGCCCGTCAGAAAGGACAAATATTGTATGATTCCACTTATACAACGTACTTAGAGTAGCTAAAGTCATAGAGAGAAAAAGTAAATGGTGGTTACCAGGGGCTGGGGGAGGGCTGAATGGAGAGTTATTGTTTAATGGGTAGGGTTTGCTTTGCAAGATGAAAAGAATTATGGAGATGAATGGTGGTGGTGGCATGATGATGTGAGTGTATTTAATACACTGAACTATACACTCAAAAGTAGTCATGATGGTAAATTTGATTCCATGTAATTTACCACAGTAAAAAGAAAAACAAAAGAAAGATTCTGAACAGGGTGTGGCCTATGAATCAGTGAGGCGGACCATCTGATCGCTGAGCTCACTGCGCTCCGTCAGAAAATCAGTCAGAGGCTCCCTGGGTGTGGACGGCAGTTTGTGGGTTAGTGTCAGGCCTGCGGGTGTCTGAATGGTGAGGGGCCTGAGTCTGTGGGGCTGGAGCACGAGGCCCTGAGGCTTGGGGACAGGGAAGTGAGAACGGGCTTCCCCTAGTGAAACCAGGGAGGGGATTCTGGCAGTGGTCAAGGGCTGACAACTTCAGACTCTCCCAGGAGGCTCCAGGTTAGACTCCTGGGAGCATGTATCAGGACAGGCCAAAGCCTTGAGGGGCAGAGAGGGGGTGCGGGTGAGGCTGGGAGTCGTGGTGGGGGACCTGGGAAGCGTGCAGATGGGTCCAAGGATGAGGAGGCTGGGTTATGGGAAACGGCTGTGACCAGCCACCACCAGCCTGCTCCGGGTTTGAGGTGAGGACTTCGCGTGCTCACCCCCACTCCCACTCCCCAGCCCCAGGCCTTACCAGGGTGGAGCTGAGAGTCTGGTTGGCTTTCCTCGCCAATGTCCAGCTGCCTGGGGAAGCCTGGAAGAGGGGAGGAGATAATATGCTATGGGCATGTGCTAGGATGCCCTGGGACCAGCTCTGGCCCCATGTCTGGCTCGGGGCTCATCCCTCAGGGTGGGTTCCCAGCAAGGGAGAAATCTACACTCAGTGATCTGTGGAGGGCACAGCTGGTGGTGAGCCTTGAAGGCAGCTGGGGGCAGACACGTGTGCATATCTAAAGGTTTGTGCACATACAGGTATGCGTGTGCACACACACGCGTTTATGCCTGCTTGTGTGCATGCACGTACGTGTGTATCCATGCATGTGTACACTGTGCCTCCCCGCCTGCCCTGCACTCTGCCTTGTAGAGTTCTTGAGTAAGTTCTCACTTTCTCTCCAAGAACACCGTCACCCCTCAATGTTCTGTGCTTCCCCACGGTGCTGTGGAAATAGAAAGAGCCCAAGAAACGTTCGCTGGACAGAACAGAGTTCAGTCAGCCTGCACAGAAGCAGTAGTCCGAGGGCTCTCTCTCTGACTTTCTGACTGCATTGCGAAAAGAAACCTCTTGGGTGTTACAGGCTATTTGTAACTTCCTGGCAGGAAGAAGTCACGTGGTCCTTTCTCTCTGTGCATCCTGCCTTTCTGGGCAACTGGGGTGGTACAAGGTGGAAGGAGGAGTCTTCCAGGTACCCAGTGGATTTGGTGGTGTTAGGGCATTTGCTCCGGCAGGTGCGCAGAAACATGGAATTTTGTTCCTGGTTTGGCCATGCTGTCTCTGAGCCAGACAGGTCCTGGCCTCGCCTGAGCCCCTCTGGCTCCCCACTTCTCACGGCCACTCTTACCATCTCCGTGGCCCCAAATGCTCAGCAACGGCACCTCCAGGTCCAGTGGTACGTCCAGCTCCATGCACACGCAGTGGATGAACTCCTGCCAGGTGCTCTGACCCTGGGTGTGCAGTTTGCTGAGTTGTTGGATGACCCTCTGTGTGGGGTCTGGGGACTGGTCCCCGGAACCCAGGTCCATGTTGGGGAGGAAGAACTTCATCTTGGCGCTCAGCCATTCTGGGTCTTTGCTGAGCAGCCTCACGAGACATCCGCACAGGTTCTCGGTGCCCAGCTGGAGGCTGATGGGGTCCGTGAGCAGCCCGGCCCTGCAGGGACCAGGTAGGCAGGTGAGCTGGGGGGCAACTCAGCTGGGGGGAAGCCAAGAGGGGAAGTCACAAACCACCCCCTACATCTGAGGGGAAGAGAAGAGACAGACACAGAAGACAAAGAAGTGGCCTCTCCGTGAAGTCTCAATGCCATTGCCCAGAGCTCGGTCCCAGAAATTAATCTCCTTCTTCTGCATCCTTTGCAAAATTAATCTGTGCCTATGTGTTGGCTCTGGAATGGTCTAGTTCATCCCCCGTGGATAATGCCCTGACGATGCTTTAACTCATTCTTGTTTCCACGGACCCATTTGTGCTGCTCTCTGTGTGAGCTAAGCTCATGGCAGAGACAACTAGCTGTCCCCCAAAATCTGTTCTTCCCTTCTTCCTTAGTACTAGAACCCCTGAATATTCCCTGGTCATCTGGAATAGACTATATTTCTCAGCCTCCCTTGTAGTTAGATGTATCCATGTAATTAAATTTGGGCCAATGGGATGTAGGTGGAAATGTTGTATATCATTCTTTGTTTCTTCCTGTTGGGTGGAATGCCGATGTGATGACTGAAACTTGGGCAGCCATGTTGGATTATGAGGTAGAAGCCAGTACCGAGGAAGACCATGGCCGCTGATCCTGCGTGTCCGGAGCCTGTGCTCCGCAACGGGAGAGGCTACAACAGTGAGAGGCCCGCGTACCGCAAAAAAATAAAATAAAATAAAAAAATAAAACAAATAAAAAATTGGAAGCAACCTAAATATCCAACAGTGGGAGATTAACTAACTGGTTATCCATACAGCGGAATATACTATAACATTTCCAAATGTACTTTCTGGTACTATTTCCTTAATAATAGAGGCAAACACTCAGAAAACACTTACTATGTGTTAGGCACTGTTTTACGTGCTTTATGTGTCTCATCTAATTATCACAATTCCAGAGACTCCACTTCTAACTCTGAAAAAGGTAGGAGGCCTGCCCAGGGTCCAGCCATACCAACTCCCAGAGGCTGGGGCAAAGACCATGTGTCCTGGGGTTCAGACCCCAGCTTCTCCCTTGACCCTCAGCAGAGGCCTACTGGGCACATGTCCCCAGCCCCTCTGGTCACCCTTCCCCAACTAAACTAATAGCAACAACTCCTTGCTCAGGCACAGGGCTTTAGAATTCATGAAACATGCTCACATCTATGGCATGGGCAGGGATCACCATCCCCACTGAAGAGATGGAAAGACTAAGCCAAGGAAGGGTAAAGGACATGCCCAAGGTCATCATACAAGTCCATGGCAGAGCCAGGCTCAGAACTGAGATTTCTTACCTCTCAGGCCAGTAAATTTCCAAGGCTTGAGATCCCTAGGTGGCACCAGACAAAGGCTCATCCCTGCCCTTTGTGTGATCTTGGCACAAGGATGTGAACATGGCCTAGGGCACAGTTTCTTTTCTGGGCTATAATGTCCAAAATCATATGGCCCATAAAGAAATCATCCAGGGCAGCAAGGTGCCAGGCGGAAGTGAGGAGTGCCTGGGTGGTATAATTTCTGGGAAAGTCCTTCAAATTCAAATTTCCCCTCTAGACAGTCTAACACGATGCCATTGTTTCCACCATGAGTGCTCTATCCTCTGGGGGTAAGACCTTAAGCTCTTTAAAAATAACCATCCCTGGAAGAAAAAGCACATTATATTATTATTGGTCATTGTGAAAGTCTGTGGGAAATAGCCTTGGAGACAGAGGTTCATAGTAGAAAGAGCCTCAGCCCCAGAGTTAGGAGACAGGTGTGCCTGTCCCAGCTCTGTAACTAATTCTCTGTTCACAGAATTGGGCTGTTCACAGATACTCTCTTTCTAGGCCTTTGGCTGGATTGCATCTCCCTGCCCCTTTGAAACTGGGTATGGCCACGAAACTTGCATTGGCAATGAAATATGCTAAAGAATGACCCACGTCATGTCTGTGCAGAAGTTCACCTTGTTCTCTCTTTTCCTCTAACACAGTGGCCAGCAGTTCCAGATCTCGGCTGTTCCTTTAGCCTGGGTCCGGGAAAGAGGATAATGTGGACTAGAGGCCCCAGTCGATTCATATTAGACAAGAACTGAGACCAGGAGATAACTTAGGTTGTCATAAGCCACGGGGACTTTGGAGGTTGTTTGTTACTGCAGCACATACTAGCTTATCTTAACTGATACACTTTTTTTTTTTTTGCGGTACGCGGGCCTCTCACTGTTGCAGCCTCTCCCGTTGCGGAGCACAGGCTCCGGACGCGCAGGCCCAGCGGCCATGGCTCACGGGCCCAGCCGCTCCGCGGTATGTGGGATCTTCCCGGACTGGGGCACGAACCCGCGTCCCCTGCATCGGCAGGCGGACCCTCAACCACTGCGCCACCAGGGAAGCCCTGATACACTCTTAATAGAGCAAACCTCTTCTCTGTCAGGGCCTTGGTCACACCATCCATGAAAAGGGTAGATGCTGACACAGGTCCTTGCTGACGTTCTGTGTCTGATGATTCTCACTCTCATGCTGAAGGGTGACTAAGGGTAACTTTGCTATATTGGGGGCAGTCCAGGGAGCAGTAGGGTGCAGTCTTGGCAGTAGGAGGGTGGGGGATGAAGGAGTGGATGGGAGGGAAAGAGAGGAGGCAAAGGGGAATGATCACCTACCTGGCTTCCTGGTTCATCATAGATGTTCTAGGATGTCCACAGAGAGGGTCTCATGGGTTCCTGGGCCAAGTCCCTGAGATGGATTTTCAGGTTCTTTCCATAGGACAGGCCCCTAAGAGAGAGGAGACAGTGCACTCTCCCCATCATTATTCCAAGTTCCAAGAGGAATTCTGTAAAGAAGGCACTGACCCCTATACCCCTGACACCACTGAGGACAGAGACCCAGAAACAGTCTCTCGTCTTCAGGTACAGATCTTCTTCTTCCCCAACCAAGATTCTTTTTGTCCCTGGACTGTTCACAGCCCAGCCCTCCCTGGTGTCACCTCCTGCCGTATCTGGCCCAGAGGATGCCCCTCTTCCTCTTCCAACTTGAACATTCCCCTTACAGTGACTAGTGACTAGTGACGTCACTGCAGGCTCCTCAAATTCAGCAGACTTATTACAGCTAATTTATTGGATGAAAATGGAATAATCCTTACCACAGATGTCAGCTTCCTTTCCTAATAAAACTCCAAAGAGGTTAGAATGTGCAGTCTTCTCTCTTAATACGTCATGAAGAAGTTTTTAAATAATCAAGAACAAACATTCTTCTTAATGAGAAAACCCAGAGGCATCGATCACTATCTCACCAAGAGGACAATAAAATGATGCTCTGATATTTTATAATAACTATAAATGGAGCATAACCTTTAAAAATTGTGAATCCTTATGTTGTACACATGTAACTTACATAACATTGTACATCAACTATATCTCAATAAAAAATAAAATAAAATGATGCTCTGGCACAAATGCCTACGTAATACAGCTTTAGAGATCTCATCTAACAATAAGGAATAGAGAAGAAAAAAGATGGCTAAAAAGTACACGGAAGAACGGAAGAAAGGCAAAAGATGAGAGTAGTGTGCACTGATTATCTCTGAAGTATGAGGAATGTAACAACAAAGTTCCAGACTTTAGATCAATCCACACCAAGAGGGCACATTCTATAGAGAGCCCAGAAATAAACCCACACACCTGTGGTCAATTAATCTTTGACAAAGGAGGCAAAAATATACAATGGGGAAAAGACGGTCTCTTCAGCAAGTGGTGCTGGGAAAGTTGGACAGCTGCATGTAAATCAATGAAGTTAGAACACACCCTCACACCATACACAACAATAAACTCAATGGCTTAAAGACTTAAATATAAGACATGACACCATAAAACTCTTAGAAGAAAATATAGGCAAAACACTCTCTGACATAAATCGTACCAATGTTCTTAGGTCAGTCTCCCAAGGCAAGAGGAATAAAAGCAAAAATAAACAAATGGGACCTAATCAAACTTACAAGCTTTTGTACTGCAAAGGAAACTGTAAACAAAACGAAAAGACAACCTACGGACTGGGAGAAAATATTTGCAAATAATGTGACGGACAAGGGCTTAATTTCCAAAACATACAAATATCTCATACAACTCAATAACAAAAAAATGAAAAATGCAATCAAAAAATGGGCAGAAGACCTAAATAGACATTTCTCCAAATAAGATACACAGATGGCCAATAGGCACATGAAAAGATGCTCAACATTGTTAATTGTTAGAGAAATGCAAATCAAAACTACAATGAGGTACCACCTCACATCAGTCAGCATGGCCGGCATTAAAAAGTCTATGAATGCTGGAGAGGGTGTGGAGAAAAGGGAACCCGCCTACACTGTTGTAAACTGGTGCAGCCACTATGGAGAACAATATGGAGGTTCCTCAAAAAACTAAAAATAGAGTTGCCATATGATCCAGCAATCCCACTCCTAGGCATATACCCAGACAAAACTATAATTCAAAAAGATACATGCACCCCTATGTTCATAGCAGCACTATTCACAATAGCCAAGACGTGGAAACAACCTAAATGTCCATCAACAGACGAATGGATAAGGAAGAAGTTGTGTATATATATATATATATATATATATATATATATATATACACACACACACACACACACACAATGGAATACTACACAGCCATAAAAGAGAATGAAACGGTGCCATTTGCAGCAACATGAATGCAACTAGAGATTATCATACTAAGTGAAGTAGGTCAGAAAGAGGAAGACAAATACCATATGATATCACTTATATGTGGAATCTAAAATATGACTCAAATGAACTTATCTACAAAACAGACTCACAGAGAACAGGCTTGTGGTTGTCAAGGGGGAGGGGTGGTGGGGGAGGGATGGACCGGGAGTTTGGGATTAGCAGGTGCAAACTATTAGTATAGAGTGGATAAACAACAAGGTCCTACTGTATAGCACAGGGAACTATATTCAATATCCTATAATAAGCCAAAATGGAAAAATATAAAAAAAAGACCATATATATATATATATATATATATATATATATATGTATAACTGAATCACTTTGCCATATAGCAGAAATTAACACAACATTGTAAATCAACTACACTTCATAAAATAAATTTTTAAAAAGGAGAGCATATTCTAATATAACAGAGATAAGTACTGTAGTTAGAAACAAGGGAAAAAAAAACACGGCCTGTTGAAGAGCTACTGAGGTAATAATGGTTTTTTAAAAAAGAAAACTGTCAAATTCTAACAGAAGAAATGGAGAGAAGCATGAGCAAATTGAAATAAAGCCTTGCTATGGACTGAATGTTTGTGTTCCCCCCAGACTTATATGACGAAGCTTAAATCTGCAGTGTGACGGTGTTTGGAGATGGAGCCTTTGAGAGGTAATTAGGTCATGAGGATGCAGCCCTCGTGATGGGTTTAGTGCCGTTATAAGAAAAGGCAGGAGAGATGTGCTTCCTCTCTCTGCTCACTGCCACATGAGGAGGATAAAGGGAGGAAGCAGCCATCTGCAAATCAAGAAGAGGGTCCTCACTGGGCACCGGATCTGCTGGCACCTTGATCTTGGACTTCCCAGCCTCCAGAACTGTGAGAAATAAATGTGTGTTGTGTAAGCCACCCAGTCTATGGTATTCTGTTAAGACTGCCAGAACCGCTATAACAGACTAAGACAAGCCTGCCTGTGACTACAGAAAGTGAAAGGAAAAACCCCTCTAAGTTAATAGACATATTTAAGGCAATGCCTTAAATATATTACAGTAGGATACTTCTGAGAACTTGGTAAAATTATAATAATGGTCTTTTAGACAAAAAATGGCAGATATGACAAGCATTTGTATGCCTTAACTATTTCATAATAAACATTTTGAATTAGAATTAGATAAAAAGAAAAAAACCGAAGGCAATTATATCAAAGACTATTCATTGGGAGAGGCAGGCAATAATGGAGAGGCTTCCAAACAAAGGCATTTTATAAAGTAACTGTCATTAAAACTTTATGGTACCAGGTGCTTCCCTGGTGGTGCAGTGGTTAAGAATCCACCTGCCAATGCAGGGGACATGGGTTTGAGCCCTGGTCCGGGAAAATCCCACATGCCGCAGAGCAACTAAGCCCGTGCGCCACAACTACTGAGCCTGCATCCTAGAGCCCACAAGCCACAACTACTGAGCCCTCGTGCCACAACTACTGACGCTGGCGCCTAGAGCCCGTGCTCCACAACAAGAGAAGCCACCGCAATGAGAAGCCCGCGCACTGCAACAAAGAGTAGCCCCTGCTCGCTGCAACTAGAGAAAGCCTGCAGGCAGCAACGAAGACCCAACACAGCTAAAAATAATAAATAAAAAAAAATTTATAAAAAAATACTATACAAAAAAAAAAAAAGAATCCACCTGCCAATGCAGGGGACACGGGTTCGAGCCATGGTCCGGGAAGATCCCACATGCTGTGGAGCAACTAAGCCCATGTGCCACAACTACTGAGCCCGTGTGCCCTACAGCCCGTGCACCGCAACTACTGAGCCCACGCGCCGCAACTACTGAAGCCCGCGCACCCTAGGGCCCGCATGCCACAACTACTGAGCCCGCGTGCGGCAACTACTGAAGCCCGTGTGCCTACAGCCTGTGCTCCGCAACTGAGAAGCCACCACAATAAAAAGTCCGCTCACCACAATGAAGAGTAGCCCCCACTTGCCACAACTAGAGAAAGCCCGCGCGCAGTAACGAAGATCTAATGTAGCCAAAAACAAACAAAACACAGCACATATGTAACCTATAATGGTATAATGGAAGAGATTATTAAAAAAAGAATATATATATGTATATATATGTATGTGTAACTGAATCACTTTGCTGTATACCTGAAACTAACACAACATTGTATGTAAATCAACTATATAAAAAACACATAGTAATACAAGTGTTTTAAATGGAAAGAATTATTATTATTATTGTTATTGGCTGTGCTGCGCCCCTTGTGGGATCTTAGTTCCCTGACCAGGGATTGAACCTGGGCCCTTGGCAGTGAGAGAACGGAGTCCTAACCACTGGACCGCCAGGGGGATTTCCTTTTTTTTTTAAGAATTATTTTTTAGTTCCATAATTAAATTAAATTTTTCTGTATGGGCAAATTAAAACCACAACCAGATACCATTTCACACCCCCATCGAAAGTCTGTAACAAAAGAGAAGATAATACAAGTGTTGATGAGGATGTGGAGAAACAGGAACTCTTATATACTGCTGGTGGGAATGCAAAATGGTGCAGCCACTTTGAAAAAGTTTGGCAATTCCTTAAAATGTTAAACAGAGGGTTATAACCCAGCGATTTTCTACTCCTAGGTTTATATCCTAGAGAAATGAAAATATACATCTACATGAAAACATGTACACAAATGTTTATCATCCCTAATAGCTAAAAAGTGAAAACAGTCCAAATGTCCAAAAACTCACAAATGAATAAGCAAAATATGGTATATCTATCCATACAATAGAATATTATTTAGCAATAAAAAGGAACAAAGCAACAATACATACTGCAACATGGATGAACAGCAAAAACATGCTAAGTGAAAAAAGCTCCAAAGTATACTAGTAAGTGAATTCAACTTTTAAAAGCTATGGCACATGTATGTTTTAAATGTGCTGTGTGCATTTGCATACGTAGAGACCAACTCTAGGGTTACACAAGTAACTGGTGACAGGATTGTGTCTGGGGAGGGAACCTGGGGGACCCAGGCAAAGGAGAGTCCTTTACAC